CCACGTGACGCGGACGCGGGTCCGCAGGGCCGCCCCTTTCGCCGCCGCTGCCGCTGCCGTCTCTCTCGGCGGCTCCGGCCGGCTGGGACCCTCCTGGCCTCTCGCCCTCCCCGCGTGCCCCGCCGGCGCGGCCCAGACACCCGCTGCCCCCGACACCCCACTGGCACGTGACCTGAGAGCCCGGCTAGTCACGTGACGCGGGGCCTGCTGCGGGAAGGGGGGTGAGGGTGTCCCCGGGGTACTCCGCAGCTACCCCCCAGCACGTGACGCGCGACCATCGTGACGGGGCAGCCGCTAGTGGCATCACCGGCCTCTCCTACTCAGTGGGCTTCCTTCAGGAAGCCCGCCTGTATTGAAAGAAACCATATACAATCTAGAAGTGTGTTCATCAGACGTCCTGGAATACATGCAATAAGTGAGGAACCTGATGATTTAGAAACAGTACGAAGCAGCTCTGGTGAGACCCGGGCTTTTATCTGGCTCCGCCACTGACTAGGAGTTGACTGACGCTTTCTCTTTCATAGTAAGGAGTTAATATTGTTCGCCCCATCCCTAGCCCCTACTCCATTCCTTTCCTGGAGTGCTGAAAGAAGTAAAATGGATGAATGTGAAAGGTTTTGAAAAGAGTAAAATTTACATGCAATTGTAAGACGTCGATTGACACTTCCTTTGTTTAAAAAAAAGGGGGGAGGAGGGTTCAGGAATGACTTTTCTAAATCCCTGAACCTTTTTGGATGAAAATGTTTGTGTTTTCACCATTTTCCTGGAAGTCATTCCAGAATGTGTACTCTACTACCTAGCTTCCTAAAACGACTGTTACCAAATACAAAATAACCCTCAAAACAGGGAAAGGTAAGTTCAAACTTAGAACTTGAATCCCCTTTGTTGTGCCCTCACAGCACCGACCGTAGGAGCTACCAGCAAGGCCTTTTGTTCCCGCACGGAGTATCCCCCGGGGCTTCTATACACTTGTAGTTTTAGTGTCTGCTTTTTTCAATTCCGTTGACTTTCTTGAAGTCAGGGTTCCTATCTCAGTGTTGTAGGTCAAGCTGCTTGCTCACAGACTGGAAAATGCAATTGTTTAAAGCAAGGGCTCCTGTACTCGTTCCATCCATTACCAACTGTAGCCTTGGACAAATTAATCAATCTCTCTCTTTTCTAGATTGTATAGTAAAGCATTTAACACAGTGCTTGGCACAGGGCAAGCACTCTACGAATGTTAGCTCATAGGGGCCTTTAGTACCACAGAGTCCACAATATTCAGATTAACACAGTATGAAAATACATCTATAGAAGCCAATCAGGTCAGAAGTCTCCTAGAATAAAGTTCAAAAGCTTATTATAACAGCTGTTTTTTCTTAAAAGCTTTTGTTGTTGCTTTTTTTTTTTTTTTTAACTTTACTAGATTCTGTTCTGGGTGGTTGATGTTACCAGCAGCCTAACCTCTAAACGAGTGAGGTCGTAGTATATTTTAATGATTAATTAGCAAATGTGAGAGTGTAAATTGTGGAAAAATGATACAGGGGCAATGAGGGAGGACCTCTGTGGAGAAGAAGTTGGGGACAGTGGTGGCTTGTGCTGAGCTGGAAGGGCAGGATTTGGATAGATTTAGGAAAAATGGGCATTCCTTTGAGAATAGCAACAATCCAGGCCGGTGAAAGAAGAGAAGTAAAGTGATACTCCAGTTGAGGACCTTGAATGAAAATGTATTTAATCCAACAGTAGCACCCACTAGATGTCGTGAGTCAAGGAGAGCAAGGCTGGACTCCAGGATAGAAAATTGGAGTGATTGTTCATGGTTCTCTGTGTACCAGTTTGTGACCCTGAGCAAGTAATGTCCCTAACTGTAAAGTGGAACCCTTGCTGCTGATGACACTGGAAATTAATCATATAAACACCCTCTTTGAGAAAGGAAACTATGATATCAGACTGAATCTCCCGTACAGGATTAAAGAAAAAAGTTCCAAACGAATCATTTGGACTTAAAATATTTTTGTTTATTCAGGTGCTATGCTGTAAAATATCTTAGTCTGTGTTGTTTTAAATGTGCAAGCTTTTGAACTAAGAGATTTGGTTAGATGATTAATCTAGATGAAAGGGAGGTCTCAAGACTTAAGCAGCCAAGCTCTGCCTTTTTTCTTAATGGCAAATTCCTCTGTGGTGTTTGCCTTCAGTGAAATACAAAAAGATAAGGACGATCTTAGTGTCAAATCAGTTTATTAGCCTGGCTTCACCAATCTAAGTTGTGAACCTTTATATTTATCTGGATGTTGAAGTTTGGAAAATCTTTTAGACATCACGAAAAGACACACATGGAGTGAAAGTTCATAAATTGCTTATTGCTAGTTATTGAACAGAAATGGCCTTAAAATTAATTTATTGCATTCTAAATTAGTTTCGGCCATGTGTTAAGTTCATTGTAACTGCTCATCAAGTCACCAGTGACTGCCACATTGCTTAATCCCCTGGCCCATTATCTTACATGGCCTCTCAGTAGCATATGACAGCCGGTCACTTTTTTTTTCCAGGAAATGCTTTCTTCAGCTGACTTCCATACTCCCTTGGTTTTCCTTCTACCTTACTAGCTGCTCCTACATCCTTGGATGATTCCTTCTTTTCTCTCTTATCTTCTAGGGCAGTGGTCCCCAACCTTTTTGGCACCAGGGACCGGTGCTCCTATGAAAATCTAATGCCTGATGACCTGAGGTGGAGCTAAGGCATTGATGCTAGTTGGGGAGTAGCAGCAAAAACAGAATAAGCTTCCCTCACTGGCCATTCACCTCCTGCTATGTGGCCCAGATCCTAACAGGCCACAGACTGATACTGGTCCACAGCCCGGAGTTTGGAGACCTCTGTTCTAGGGCATAGTCCTTCTAGACCTCTCCATTGTAACAGGAGGGACTACACACTGCTAGACACTCCTGTCTCAGCCATTGTTTCTTTTGGAAAACCTTGGATCTCCCAATGTCATATTGGCTGTTCCTCCTTGAGAGTCCACCAAATCTTGTACATTCTCCCCACTGGTCACACTATCCTGCTCATCTTGTTTGCCTTCCACACTAAACTGTCAGCTGCTTAGTACAGTATTCTATGATGTCACCAGCATTCCAACCATCTAACGGCTCCTTATTCCCACCTTCATTGCTGAGTAGTATTCCATGGATAAACCAATTCGTTTAAGCATTCACCAGCTAAAAGACACCTAGATTGTTTACAGTTTGGGCTATTATAAATAAAACTGCTATGGACATGTAGGTACAAGTTTTAAATGCCAAGAATGTTCTTGTTGGGTCATATGGTGAATATATGTTTAGTTTTAGAAGAAAACTGCCAAACTTTTCCAGAGTGGCTGTACCATTTAATAGTTCCACAAACAATATATGAGGGATCCAGTTTCTCTGCATTCTTTTCAGCACTTGGTATTATCAAGATTTTTAATTTTGGATATTCTAATAGATGTGTAGTGGTCATCATGGTTTTAATTTGCATTTTTAATGGCTAATGATATTGAGCATCTTAGGTGCATATTTGCCACCCTTATACCCTATTTGCCAAATTATTCAAGACTTTTGCCTATTTTCTAACTGGGTGGTTTTCTAATTCTTGAGTTTAGAGAGTTCTTTATATTCTGGATACAAGTCCTTTGTCACATATATGATTTGCAAATATTTTCTCCCAGTCTGTGGCTTCCCTTTTCATCCTATTAATGTGGTCTTTCACAGAGTAAAGTTTTTTCTGTTTTTTTCTTTAATGGATTGTGCTTTTGGAGTTGTATCTAAGAACTTTTTTTCTTTAATGGTTTGTGCTTTTTTTCTTTAATGGATTGTGCTTTTGGAGTTGTATCTAAGAACTCTTTACCAGACCCTCTGCATGAAGATGTTTTCCTATGTTTTCTTCCAAAAAGTTTATAGTTTTACATTTATATTCAGATCTACTGTCCATTTTGTGTCCATTTCAGTTCTTTGCCTATTTGTCTACTTGCTTTAACACCACTTGCTGAAAAGAGTTATTCTTTCCTCATTCAGCTGTTTTTTCACTGGTGTCAAAAATTAGCTAGGTGTACTTGTGTTAATCTATTTCTGAGTTCTCCATTCCATTTTATTGATTTTTGTGTCTATCCCTTGGCAGTTACCACACTGTTTTGATATTGTGTTTATATAGTTAAGTCTTAAAATCAGGTAGTATGATTCCAACTTTTTCTTTTTCAAAATTGCTTTAACTTATCTTGCCTTTCCAGGTAAATTTAACATTAAACTTGTTTATATCTGCAAAAAATTCTTGCTAGGATTTTCATAGGAATTGCATTAAAACTAGAGATCCATTTGGGGAGAATTGATATCTTTACTATATTGAATCTTCCAAAACATGGACTTGGTATATCTCTGTATTTACTTAGATCTTCTTTGGTTTCTTTCATTGGCATTTTGTAGTTTTCAGCATATAGATTTTGTAAAATTTTTGTTAGACTTACATGTAAATATTTCTCCCACCTCCCCCATCTCTGGAGTGATTGTAAATGATATTTAGATTTCAGTTTCCAATTGTTTATTGCCAATATATAGAAATATAATCTGTATCTTTTTCTTGCTTAATGCACTGACTGGGATTTTCAACAATAAGAGTGCTGAGAGAAGGCATTCTTGTCTTGTCCCTGATTTAAAAAGAAAGGTGGCTAGTCTTTTACTATTAAGTATAATGGTAGCTGTAGGTTTTTTGTAGGTGCTCTTTATCGACTGAAGCAGTTGAAGATGTTCCTTCTATTTTTTTGCTTAGGTTTTTTTTTTATCATAAATGAGTACTAAATTGTTAAATAGTTTTTCTGCATCAATTGATATGATTATGTGAATTTTCTTCTTTAGACTGTTAATATGGTAGATAACATTGATGGGCTTTCTTATACTGAACCATCTTTGAAGTCAGCTCTACTTAGTCATGGTTTATAATTCTTTTTATATACAGTCATCCCCCTTTTCTGCAAGAGATATATTCCAAGATTCCCAGTGATACCTGAAACCACGAATAGTACTGAACCCTGTACCTACTTTGTTTTTCCTATACATACATACATTTTCACTTAAAGGAAGCACTTTTTGATTTCTCTTTGGCATATCTGAATTGCCAGTATCACTGTTCTTACACATTGGGGCCATTAAGTAAAACGAGGGTGGGTTGAACACATGTACTGCAATACCTTGACAGTTGATCTGGTAACCAAGACAGCTACCACATGACTAAGAGGTGGATAGTGTATACAGTGTGGATATACCGGACAGAAGTATGATTCACATCCCTCAAAGAATGAAGCAGGAAGGTGAGATTTCACACTATTCAGGATGGCACACAATTTAAAATTTTATTTATTTCTGTAATATTCTGTGTAATATTTTCAGGCTGCTGTTGACCACAGGTAACTGAAACTGAGAAGCAAAACTATGGACTACTGTACTACTAGAATCGATTTGCTAACATTTTTGTGAGGATTTTTGCATCTTTGTTCATGACAGAACATTTGTCTTTTGTCTGGTTTTGACCTCAGGAAATTTGGGAAATATTCCTTCCTACTGTTTTCTGGAAGAGATTGTGTAGGATTTGTGTTATTTCTCTTTTTGGTAAAATTCACTGGTGAAACCATCTAGGCCTAGATATTTCTTTCTAAATGTTTTTTTTTAAGCTATTAATTTCTTTAATATTTACAGGACTATTCAGATTATCAGTTTAATCTCAATTGAGCTTGGTTGTTTGGTTTTCTGGGAATTGGTCCATTTCATCTGTCAAATTTATGTATGTAGACTTGTCTTATTCTCTTAGTACCTTTTAGCATATGGGCTCTTTAGATCTATCCCCACTTTCAGTTCCGATAATCATAATTTGAGTCTTCTTTCTCGTGTTCTCTTTTTTGCTAGTCTTGCTAAATAAATTTTATATTTTCAAAGAACCAACTTTTGGTTTGAGTTTATTGTTTTTCCATGTTCAATTTCATTGAGTTTTGCTCTTTATTTCCTCCCATCTTCTTGCTTTGTCTTTATTTGGCTCTTTTTCTAATTCCTTGAGGTGGAAGCTTAGGCTATGCTTCCCTTCTTTTAAAAATACTATTGTTTCCAGAATATACCTTGGTTCCCTGAAAAACTGTTTATTCATTAAAACTCAGCTCAGATGACACTTTTGAGGCAGAACAGGATTGTAGCCAGCCTTTTTCCTACCCTCCATCCCCCCACCTCCCTCATAAGCCCCCACACTTGCAGCTAATGAAAGAATTTGAAGCTAAAAGAACTACAGTTCTTTGGGCCCAGCAAGGAGATTTTCATGCTAAATCCAAAAATCTCTTTCTATTTGTAATCAGTTTAACTATGCCCAGGAGGTAGACCCATGAATCTTTACTAATTACACACTCAGCCCTGACTTTCATTTTGCCTCTATGTCCTCTGTGTTGCAGACTAAATAAGCCCTTTAAAATAATCATAATAATCATCAGTCATTAAAGACTGCAAGTTGTAAAAAAAAAAAAAAAGGGTGCTGGAAGAAGTTCTCAAAAACCTGACCTCTTTCCAACCTCCAGTCAAATGAGGTTAGACTCTACCCTAGGCAACTAAAGAGGGGCCTGGGGGCTATAAAAATGCCAACTCACATGTGTAGGCCTCCAGTTTACAAGGTTATATTGGGCTTCACAGTTCATGGCAAGACAGGAATTATCCCCATTTGAGTGATGAGAAGAACTCAGAGGGTAGTTCAGAGAGTAGCTTGAGGTCCCCAGTGCAGGTCTAACTCATTTCTGAAGGGAACGCTCCAGGAGCTACCCAAATCTGGGCAGAGAATCTCCTCCCCTAGTAGAGGACACCTCCTCATTGGCCTTCGGAAGCCACGAAGGCCGGCGTCACCGCGCGCTGCCTAGTCCTGCCCGCTAGGGGGCGCATGTCCCCTTTCCCCGGTCGCAGACAGCCGCCAAACTGGTGATGGGTGATAGCTGAGAGTTGGTGGGTGGGTCAGTGTGCCCTTAGGGAGTCGTAAAACTTGGGCCTCAGAGCTTGGGTCCCCAAAGATTGGCATGGAGTCAGCCCAGTAAGAGGCAGGGGAGAGGCACGGGTCCCTGTGAATTGCAAGAGAGTCCTGGGACGCTGTCATCCGTTAAGGGCCAGACCTCGCCAGTCAATGCCCCACTCCGTTTAGGGCCATAGGGACCTTGGGAGAGAGGTCAGCTCAGCCAACTCTGCCACGCCACTTCTGATCAGAAGAACTGCGATGGACGCGAGAGTCCAGACTAGCTTTCAGGCTCCTTCGCGATCACGTCCTCCTGAACTCGCCGCCCTCCCTTATCTTTGCAAGACCCTCGCCCAAATCCTCCACACACCTGGAATAGCCGCTTGTCCTCCTCGCCCCACCTCCACTCCCGCCCCAGGACACCTCCGCCCAGGAACTTGGACTGGCCTAGGGAAGCAAACCCTCCTCCTTCTAAGTCTCCCGTTTCGACGTGGAGCCCGCCCCCTGCCTCCGCGCCCCGCCTCGGAGGCGTACACGTGGTAGGTCCCGAAGCCTCGCGTTACTCAAACACCTCGCGAGGTTGCGCGAGCGCTCTGGAAGGGGAAGGGAGAACGGATGCCGGGAAGGGGATTCGTGGGTCGCGCGAGCCTGACCGCGAGGGAACCGTGAGCGTGCGCACTCTGCAGCCCTTTCGGGAGATCCGCGCCGCCTGCGGTTTGGCTTTTTTTTTGCGCGCCCCTTCTCGTCCCTTCCTGGGGCCTGAGGGTCGCGGGCTGCGCCTTCTATTCCGGCCGGTCAGTGCAACGCTTGAGTGGCTTGGCAGGGAGCGGGCCGCGTGCGCTTGGAGACCACTGTGGATCCGAGAGAGTAGGCGCGCAAGAGCCAGAGAAGGGGGTGGTGGAGAGGCCTGAGGTTGGGAGCGATGTGATGAAGGTATAAGCACCAAGAACTAGTCGTGGGAGAGATACGGGAGCTTGTGGGGACTGAGGCTGGAGAGCAAGAGGGGCATCAGTTGCGCCCCTCACGGCTGCACTCTCTGGGCAGGAAATGGGGTAGGAAAGGAAGAGAAGTCTCTTGTCACCCCTCGCTGATCTCGTCCTTTTCCCATACCAGGCACGCAACATGGCAGAAAACCGAGAGCCCCGCGGGGCTGTTGAGTCTGAGCTGGATCCGGTGGAGTACACACTTCGGAAGCGCCTGCCCCACCGACTGCCCCGGAGGCCCAATGACATTTATGTCAACATGAAAACTGACTTTAAAGCCCAGCTAGCCCGCTGCCAGAAGCTGCTGGACGGAGGGGCACGGGGTCAGAATCTATGCACTGAGATCTACATTCATGGCTTGGGCCTGGCCATCAACCGCGCCATCAACATTGCTCTACAGCTGCAGGCTGGCAGCTTCGGGTCCTTGCAGGTGGCTGCCAATACCTCCACAGTGGAGCTTATCGATGAGCTGGAACCAGAGACTGATACACGAGAGCCTCTGACCCGCACCCGCAACAACTCTGCCATCCACATCCGAGTCTTTAGGGTCACACCCAAGTAATTGAAATGAAGCTGGCTTGCCCTGTCCACCCCATACACACACAGTTAGGCTCAGATGTGACTCTCCTTGTGCTGAGTACTGCCATGGACTTCTTACCAGAGTTTGTAAGATAAAAAACCTGTACCCTCATAGCCCATAGGACTATTTGTCTAGAGAGGGGAAGTATGTCTCTTGTTGGGCCAAGCAGCGGGTCTTCCTGAATCTTTGGTCTGTAGCCATTGTCCTAGACAATAAAAAGTATGAAGTTGTGTTAGTGTCCAGCCACCCCACTGCCACTGCCTCTCCCCTGTGTAAAGTCTGTGTGTACCTACCTGGAAAGGAGAGTAGAAAACTTGATTTAGTTGCAGGAGGGGAATTTAGTTGCAGGAGGGGAATTCAAGTGTTTCTTGTCTTCAGATTGTACTATGGACAGTGTAACATAAACTAGCACAGTGCAGAAGCCTGATAACCCAATGTTTAATTTAAAATTGCTTGTCCTCTCAGAGGCAAGCGGGATGGATAAGGTATATACACTTGTCTGCTGAATGCAGCTGGGATAGTTGTATACTGGGAAGCATCAGGTTCTGGTGGCAGTTCCTGAGCACAGGAAAGGTGAGGGTTTAAGGATGAGGGAAGCAGAGACTGGGGCTTCCTTTGTAACACTGTGGTAGGGACTGACACACAGGCACATAGCTTCATTTGCTTCCTGGTCCTGCGGGGCCTAAATTATTCCAAGCAGATAGGTTCCAGAGCCCTTTAGACCCTTCTGGTTGGGCCTCTCTAGTGGGAAAGGAAAGCCTCCCCCAGAATTACTGGGCACACAAATAATAAATACTTTTTGGGTATTTGTAGGAGGATCTGTTATCTCATGTTTATCAAAGTGGGCAGTGACCCATTTGTGGATCCTAAAATCAATTTACTCAATCATAGCCTTTTAAAAAGCAAGCTAAAAAGAAGTACAACTTAAATGGTAATGCTGATGGTTTTTCAGTTATCAATGCATATATATACATGTGTACTAGTTATGATGTAAATTTTGTTTTTTACTGTGGTTGAGGTCAAGTTTGAAAGCCTCTGATTTAAAGGTTTGTAACAATTTTGCTCTAGTTTGCTTGAAGGCAGTTTGGGTTCTGAAAATCAGGCTTCTTTATCAAAATCCCTTCTGGCTTGAGTATTCTGTTGATGAGGGACTTTGGTGCTGGGTGAATGACTGCCAGCAACTCAAGAAAGTGGACTTACAGAAGAACTAATGCTTCATTCAAACAACTAAACATGCTGAGTACCTGCTGTGAGCCAAGGCCTAGGTTGGGCCCTGGGGATACAAAGATGAGTATAAAATAGCCCCTACCATTTAATTGGGATGGTGGCTACACAGTTTTTGTGAATGAGAAAGAAGTAAGAGTAGCCATGATATGCAAATATGGAGAAGGAAATGGCTAACTTCCTGGTGGGGTCCAAGATGGTTTCACCTTTGACCTGGGTTTTGGAGGATTAACAGGAGTGTGCCAGGCAAAAAAGAGGGGAGGGGGCCTATCTGGCAGAGGGATTGGCATATGCAAAGGGTATTCATGAATAGGCAGGGTATGTTTGGGGGCTGGAGGGTCACTCAGGGTGGATAGAAAGCAGGAGGCTGGGGAGAGAAGAAGGGAGACATTCCCATTATACTCTCCTATGCTCATTCCCCTATCTGCCTTGAATGCAAGATTCTCTTTCTCGGGAGCCCCCCAGTAGCAGAATGGGAGCTGGGTGGAATTATGCGTCACCCTGCACGTATGTATTCTTGTCTCTGCTCCTGGCCTGGGCCCAGCTGAGGTGGTGGCAGGCATCCCTTTTGTGTTTGGTTGGTTTTGGCAGCTACATCTTGCAGCCTAGTAGTTGTTTCCACTCCATGTTCTCTCACTTCTTGCTAGTGTGGCTTCACTCAGTGGCAGGTTTACATAAACAGCCCCTAGACATTGCCACTGAAGGAAGAGAGGGTGTGGGGCTCACCCTTAAGTGTGTCTGGGCAGGTAGGAGGTGACAGGAAGCCTCCTGCATCTACTGGAGTTTGAGCTATGGGCAGGGCAGGGAACTCCATCCTTTCTGTAGGGAGCCCAAAAGGGAGGCCAACTGGCCACTGTCCACTCCCCTGTCTCCCTCCTTCTACTAGCTCTCTGAAGTGTCTTCCATCAAAACTTGGGAAATGGGAAGGGAAAAAAAAAAACTAAACCTTGGGAAATGGGTGTGGCAGAAGGTGTGTCCAAGTGTAGTTCTCCCTTCTTTTTACTCAGCCGCAGAGCTTACAGTGAGTGCATAATGACCTACTTCGTAAACATCCTCAGAGGCCAGAATTCTAATGCTTATTTTGGAGGTAGGCAGTTGTAGACATTTGCTCATCATCCATAGCATCCATTAGTTATAGAGATTTGTGTTGGGGGCCAGGCCTGCCCAAAGAGGTATATATAAACTGTTGGTCCTGTAAAGTCTAATTAAGAAGCAAGACAAATAGGCTTAAAAAGGCAAATAATTTGAATAGTGCTTGGAATTGTCCTGACATTAGTAAAGGCTCAATAAATAGGGCTACAATTGTTACTATGAGTCATTTTGCTAAGGAAGGGTTTGGGGCCTCCTAATGAGGTTGGGGAGAGAGCAGGGGAGGAAGGTGATTTGTTTGTGTTTGATTCACAAGGCTGAGTTATTCTGTCAGGCTTTTTTAAATTGTGGCTTAACTGGCAGAAAAGAAGATAGGCCCTCAGGACACATAAACTGGTTTAGATAGGCTGATAATCCTCCTAGGAAGGTCCCCACATTATGTCCCAGGTGAGTTCTTGGTACTTAGTCAGGAGTTGGAGGAAAAATGGTATGTTTCACACACCCTTGACCCTCTAGAGAAGGTGAACTAGATGTCCAACTGCACAGAGATTTGGATTGAGGTAAAGGTTATCCCGCCAAGAAATAAGTTTGTGAAAATGGCCATTTAAGACTTCATCTTCCTAATGTCATTATGGGTGCTTTTTAATTTATGCTTTTTGGTTTAGTCATATTTTCTATTTTTTTAATGATCACGCATTGTTTTTGTAATAAGAAAAAGTTAATTTTTTACAAAGCCTTTTTGTTGTTGTTGTTCTGTTCTCTAGGTGGGGGTGATCAGGGGAGTTAGTTATCAAACTAATGAGGTAATCTCAAGGAAAAGTGATTTCATTGCCCAATCCAATAACGAATAAATATTTAAAGAATGGATGGTTTGATGGATGCATGGATGGATGCATGGATGGATGTACAGGAGGACAGCTTGCTCTCTACTCTACAACAAGCTTCTACTCCCTTGAGAAATGTCTTGTCACTGGAAATATCCACACAAAGAGTAAACCTTCATCTTCATGAGACCTCCTAGGTCTCTTCCAACTCAGAGTCTATAATCTTGTTTACTGCAAGAAAAATATACTTTCCAAAAACGACTAAAATTATTTGCTGGTTCATGAAATAAGACATGAACAGAAGGGCTCACTTATGTACAGATTGAGGGGGTGCCTATGGGGTCAAACAATAGGGTCTGGTAATTCTGGTAATTCGCCTAGTCCCAGTGAACATGAATGCTCAAGTTGGGAAAATATTTGCTAAATTTGGATGTTTAAGTGTATAAACTTCCCTTGAGTAGATCTTGGTTCATATTCCTCCAAGTAGGAAGAGCACATAGGACAGCTCAGTGGAGTTCATGCAAAATCCATTTAAAAAGTCTCCGAGCCCTTGTTAACAAAATGAAACTTCTGTATTCACAACTGTATACCTGCAAAGGCCTTATGTGGGAGAAAAACATTACTCCCATTGATATTGCCAGTACTGTTTTGTTTAAGTTAGGACTTTCTAATTTTGTTTTTGTTTGGACAGGAAAGTTACTCTAGCCAATTTAGCAATTCCATGGGAAGGGGCTTAGAAATATTCAGCAGTCCTTGTGAGCTAGAGAGCCTAGGATGCAGGCTGACACTTTTCACAGAAACCTACGGGGAGGGGGCGGTGGGGGGGTGGTTCTGGAGCTCGAGGTGGAAGTATTCATGCTCTGGGAGCCCTGCTTCAAGGACTCAAGCATTTGGGGGATTCAAGAGACAAGTAATTGAGGAAGCTGGCCCCATAATTCTTGTTTAGGATAGGCCCAAAGACCTCATTCAATCAAGGTCTTTGGGCTTCTCATGTTGATGGGGCAAGAAATCTCTGGTTTTGAATAAACTATGTTTGAGACTTGTCTTGATATTTGTGTCTGAACGCTCCTCCAACTCCTGTAATGATGCCATTTCACTTGGTTACATTCGGGGACAAGTTTCTCCAAAGTGCAGTCAATGTATACACCCAGAGTACCTCTGTTCACACCCCACTTATTCTCATGACTTTTTTCAGTGAGCTGCTTGATGAGGCAGCTACAACACCAGAGATAAGATGCCATGAAACTGCCCAGCTCCCCAGAGGGAACAGTGGAAGATACTGGGAGAAGGCTAAAATATGCCAGGGGTTTGGTCTCCAGGCCTCCAAAGTAAGGACAAATAGCAGGGATAATAAACCAGGGAATGTAGGAATAACAGCATTTATTGATCACCCTATGCGAGGTCTTACATAAGTCTACAACAGTCCTGGGAAGCGATTACTATCATTGTCACCATTCCCCTTCTACAGAAAGAAGTCTCAGAGATAGAGTCACTTGCCCAAGGTGGGTGCTATTAAGAGGCAGAGTTCAGGCCACCAATCTGGACCCCCTTGTTTACCAGACAACCCCTTGAGGCTGCTGCTCCACAGAGCTGCTTGCTGAGAACAGAAACTTGGATCTGGTTCTCCTGGCTATTTCGTGGCCAAAAAAAAAACAGCCCCTTGCCTCGATTTCTCCAAACTGACCTTCACACAGGACTTTCTTTTGTTCTCCAGCAGGACTTCCTTCTCCAGTGTTCTTGCTCCCTTCCATTCCCCCCAGGAATTCCTTCTCCAGTGTTCTTGCTCCCTTCTCCATTCCCCAAGGGCCAGGAAGTGCTCCCCCACCCCATCCTCCGAGGTCCCAGGCCACCTCACTTCCCAGCACAGAAGGTCTTCTGGGCCACTGGCTGAATTCCCGAGTCTGGCAAGAAGCTCTGCTTGGAAAGGAGGGAGAAGAGGCCCAGAGGCCCCCCTCATCCCCAACTGGACTTCAGGCAGCTGGGGCTTCGTGCTGCCTGGGGTCTGAGACAGCTCAGGGGGGCTGTAAATTTGCTTCTCCTTGGATTTTCAATCTGCATTGGCTGCCAGGAAGACTCCATGGAACAGAGCCTGCCTCCACCCCCGCCATCCTCTGGTCACAACTGTCCCTTTTCAGATCCTGCCTCAGTGGCTGCCTGCTCAGGAATTACAGGGAGGCCTCAAAAGCCCCCAAGATCCCAGAGCTAGGTTGTTCAGGCATGGCTCCAGCAAGCACCACTCTGAGGATGAATGGCTTACTTCTCCCCTCTAGGTCAATCTCTGACTGAGGTGTCTGGAGTGGAGGGACCACATAATGCAAGCCACATACAAGTGATGACCCTGAACAGGAAACATGCTGGGTGCCTGGTGGGTACCAGGATGAACAAGACCTGTCATACACTGTTCTTCACACAGGACACCTGTGCTGCATGACTCCAGAGGGTACTATTCCCATCAGAATCTATATGAATGGCACCCCCTGGAGTTGTGCAGTGCTCAACCTTGACAGTTGTGCATGATGACTCTGCCAGTGAGAGGCCTAAGATGTGTAAAGATGGTAGTGCAGAGGAAGGAGACAATTTCCTGCTGGGGGATCAGGGAAGGTTTCATAGAGGAGGTAATGCCTGGATTTGGGCTTTGAAGAACATTGGAGAGAGTGTGGGAGGCTGATCCAGGTGGAAGGCACAGAGTGAGCAAAGGGCAGGAAGCTGCAAACCATCTAACTGAGCTCATGTGATGGAGGGAGTGGGGATGAGCAAAGTGAGAGAATAGCCTGGAGAGGTAGGTGGATGGCAGAACACAGAGGGTCTTAGTTCTGAGACAAGAGGGAGCTATTGCAGGCTTCTGCTCAGGGGAATGACTCGAATGAAGCTATTCAATGGGAAAGTTAATCTAGCGACAGCGACAGCGACAGCGTTGTGAATTGACTGGAGGAGTCAGTGAGTAGACCCCCTGCAGTGGTCCTGGGACTGGGTCAGCACTATGCCAGAGGAATACAAGCAGGTGGATGGAGGGAGCACTGACTAGGGGGTGGTGGGCATTGAAGGGCAAGCCTTAGGTAGGTAGCTTGCTGATTTCTTCCTGCTCCTCAGGGTCCCCTGATGAGGACGAATAGCTGGACCCTGCTGGTCAGTATCCAAGAGCACCTGGGTTGAAGTTGGCCCCCAAACCAACTTCTGCCCTCTTAGCAGGATTATGCAGTTTAGAGATTGGGTGTGGGTAGACCAAGACTCTCTCTTCTACCCTCTCTTCCAAGCTGCAATTGTAGCTTTTTCCAAAAGCCAGAGAGAATGAGCCAGCATCACCCCTGTCCAGCAGGCTCTAGCACCTGTGGGCTGTGCTCATGACCCATCTCCCTTCCTTTCTCGAAGGTAGGGGCCTAGGAGCCTCTGACGAGTTGCTGTCAGAGAGGTGGGAGGAGCAGGTCCTACAGCCTGAGAAGCTCTTCCTCTCCTCCCTCTTCTTAGGCTGTCTATACTCCCCCCCCCCAACTGTCCCTGGTCCCCTCTTCATGGTCAGGTCAGGGCAGTGACGCAGGAGTCAGGGAACTGGGAGTGAGGGGGTTGGAACAAAACGCATCTGTGTACGTGTGTGGACGTGAGTGTGTGTGTGCTTGTCCCACAGCTGGGATCTGGGAAGGGAGCAGAACCAGGCTCTGAGGGCCAAGAGGGGCTGGGAGCCTGCCCGGTGCTGAGAGGGAAACTGGGATCATAGGGCACAGTGGGGTGTGCAGACTAACACCCAGTACACCAGGTTCAGGGAGGGCCCCCAGAGTAGGCTGGGGGTGAGTGGAGGGCAGGGGAAGAGGGTCTGAGAGAGTCAGGCCCTCATTATTTCTCTTCATGCATCTTCCTGAATACCTCTCTGATCATGCTCCCCTGCCCCTTATGGCTCCTGCCCTCACCTCAGTGAGGTCACCTTCAGACACGCATCCTTGCCTGCCTGATCTAAAATTGCAACCTTCTCCAACACTGCTGAGCCCCCTTCTGTGCCTGTTCTTAGTCATTATGGCCATTGGAGAGCCTCTGTCTTTTAATCATTTTTGTGTTTATTGTTTGCTCTCCATTAGAAAATCAGCTCTACCAGGGCAGGCATTCTTGTCTGTTTCATTCACTGCTCCATCTCCAGCTCCTGGCCAAGAGTACGGGTGTGTGTGTGTGTGTGTGCGCGCGCGCGCGCGCATGCGCACACACACACACACATACATATATATGTATATATGTATATATGTTTCTTGAATGAATACTCATTTCTTGAAGAAATAAATATTTCTTGAGTGAATGAATGATCTCTACTCTTTCAAAACAAAACCCAAATTCCTCAGGGTGGCATTCAAGGCCCTTCACAAACTGATCCCTAACCAGCACTCTGGTCTCATTGCTATTTCTCACTTTCATACTCTCCACCCCAACACCTTCACCCTCACTTTGCTGAATTGGCCTCCCAGACCCACCTCACATATCTTCCCATTGAAATCCTACCCACCCTTCAAAGCTGAGCTTATTGTTACTCCTCCATCAAAGCTTCCACTATTCCCTCAGCTAGAGGAGCTCTCCCTCTTTCAAATTCTTATAGCTCAGTTCTGCACACTCCAGTCCTCACACACTGGCCTGTAAACACGTCTTATCTCTATGGTAAACTACAAACTCCAGGAGGCGGGAGCTAGTTCTCAACACATTTTTGTCCTGCAAAGTGTGTAGTCAAGTGTTTTGTACAAAGAAGGCACCGAATGCATGAATAAAATATCTCTAATATCATGGGATTGGGTAGGGAGTTAAGAAATATAAATAACCACCTGTATTTGTAGGACTGTACTGTCTTATGAAACCTGCGTGAGGTGGGAATGGTACTTTCATCACACCCATTTGATAGGTGAAGACACTGAGGCTCAGGTGCTGAGGCCAGTTTCCAAGGTTTGAGAGCCAGCCAGCCTTGGACACCTGCTCTGGGGAGGTTGCCTCATTGCCTCAGGGCTTCCTAGAAGCCATAAAGTCTTAGTTGCAAATCTGAGCTGCCATCACTCTGGGGAGTAGTTCTACTTCAGAGTTCGTAAGAATTCTGCCACGCAGCTAACCTGTATCACAGGTCAAAGAAACTGGGTATCAAAGTGCGTGTGTGTCCTGCGCAGCACACCATGTGCTTTGTGTCCTAAATATTCAATTTCTGGGCTTTCAGGGTCCTAGAAAGAAGGGGAGAAGACCCCCACATTTCTTGCTCCATGTGCCCCGATCAAATTCCTCAACGTGAACAACACTGGTTCTAGAAAAAGTACGGGGACTGTGAGAAGGCAGGCAACTGACTTGCCCTTGCCAGCACTTTCCGGCCTTCCAGACCCAGCCGTCTCGCAGGAACCCCCGGCACTCCCAGCTCTGAGCCCGTCCCCCCAGCCCGGGACGCTCCCGAGGCTTTCTCAGAGTGGCCCTCCTCTCCCAAGCGCAGACGTGCGGCACCATCCTGCTGGTGCACACCCAGCGGTACCTCCCGAAACCCGGGTCTGGCAAGCAGACGGGTGTCACTGCACACACGCCTACTGCGGCTCCGCTCCCGCCCCGGCTAGCCCGTGACCCAGGCGTCCTGCCCCCTGCTGACCCCCTGGCCCCCACCTCGGGCGACCCCTCACGCACACAGCCTCCCCCACCCCCACACACGCACGCACACATGCTGATAACAGCCCCGACCCCCGGCCGCAGCCTCAGTCCCGGGGCCAACTCCGTCTGGTCGCCTAGCCGCGCGTCTTCCCAGACCCAGGCCCTGTGCTCTCCCCGCCAGACCGCCGGCTCGGTGGCCCCTGGACAGTGGCCTCCTCCTCCGGCCCGTGGGGTGGCCCTGCCCCGCCGAGATTCCCAGGATGAGGGCTCGGGGCGCGGGCGCCGGGAGAGCCCTTGATCGCTGAGCGGCAGGGCAGGGCGCGGAGATGGGGGTGCGCGGTGAGTGCTCGCCCGCTGGGGAGCTCCCGCCCCGGCCCCTGTTTGAGAAAGGATTTACCGCTAGGGCTGCTGGCCCTGAGGTGGCTGGGTTCAAGGACCCGCGACTTGCCGAGGACCCCGGAAGGCAAGGGGAGTGGGGCAGCCTCCACGTGCTGGCCGGGCTTGGGGGAGTCTCTGGGAAAGGCAGAATGTGACCTGGAGACCGGGACGAGGTTTGGGGGTTCAGGGAAAAGAAGGGCTGCTATGCGAGTGAAGTGGTAGTTGATACCTGGATCCTGGAGCAAGCACCGTGATCTGCGAGAGGGGAAGCCTCTGTCACAGCGGGATTGAAGTTTGGCCCCTAGAAGTGGAGGCGATAGCTGGGGGGTGGGGTGTGCGTGCCGCAGCGGGATTGAATGAAGGCAAAGGAAACAGAACCTGAGCTCTTGGAAGGTTGGGATCGGGAGGACTAGCCCCAGCGAGGAGCAGAATGTGTGAACGTGCTTCTCCAAACCAACCCTTCTGTTCCCCTCTCTGCCTCACACCCAGCCTGGCTCTTTTTTGTAGAATGTCCTGCCCTGCTGCTCCTGCTGTCCTTGCTGCTGCTTCCTCTGGGCCTCCCAGTCCTGGGCGCTCCCCCACGCCTCATCTGTGATAGCCGAGTCCTGGAGAGGTACATCCTGGAGGCCAAGGAGGCTGAAAATGTCACGGTGAGACCTCTTCCTCAGTATATTCCACAGACTCACTCTCAGGGGTCCAGGGGTCTCCTCCAAGATCCAACTCCAGGTTCCTGGACTCTTTCCTGGCACTTGGTTAAGGGGTGGAGGTGGGAAGCCAAAGCCCCCAATAAAAATGATAAAACTGGTAACCCATAATGCATACAAGGAAGCTAGGTGAGGGGCAAAGCCTATGTCCTGTGGTCTGGGCCAGGAGCTCCTGGGGGCCCTGACTCTCTGGGTTGTACATTTCAGGTGGGCTATGGGGAAGGCTGCAGCTTCAGTGAGAATATCACCGTCCCAGACACCAAGGTTAACTTCTATGCCTGGAAGAGGATGGAGGTGTGTTCATTTTTTCCTTCCTCTTGGGGAATCTCATTTCGAGCACCTGATAGGGTGGAAAGGAGAATGATATATAGAGAGAAGAAATGGAGCAGCAAAGATGAGGGCTGAATGGAACATGTTCATTTGTTTATTCATTCATTCCAAGAAACTTTTTGCATGTCTTCTGTTTGCTCAGCTAGATGCTTGGGGCTGCTGAGAGGGAGGAGGAAGGGGCTGGCTTGGGCTAGTTGACTCCAAGTCTCTGCTTCCTTTAGATTGAGCAGCAGGCCGTGGAAGTCTGGCAGGGCCTGGCCCTGCTCTCAGAAGCCATCCTGCGAGGACAGGGCCTGTTGGCCAACTCCTCCCAGCCATCTGAGATCCTGCAGCTACATGTGGACAAAGCCATCAGTAGCCTACGCAGCCTCACCTCCCTACTTCGGGCGCTGGGAGCCCAGGTGTGTAGAGATAGACCCTCCCCCACACTCTGCTCTTTCTGTAAAATGGTACAGGGGCCCTGCTAAGGAATACTGAGGCTTTCCTCATGCCCCCTCCAATTCTGTCCTGAACCCCCTCTCCCTCCAGGGTCCCTGGCACTGCAGTAACCTTCTGTTCTTTCCTTGGCAGAAGGAAGCCATCTCCTTTCCAGAAGCAACAGCATCTGCTGCTCCACTCCGAACATTCACTGTTGATACTTTGTGCAAACTTTTCCGAATCTACTCCAATTTCCTTCGGGGAAAGCTGAAGCTGTACACAGGGGAGGCCTGCAGGAGAGGGGACAGGTGACCAGGTGCTCTCAACCCGGACACGTCCACCACTTCACTTACCACCACTGCCCATGCCACGCCTTCCACACCACCACTCCCGACCCCCCAGCAAGAGGCAAATCAGCTCAGCATCAGCCTGTCCCATGGACGCTCCAGGGCCAGCAGTGACATCTCAGAGGCCAAAAGAACTGTCCAGAGCTCAACTCAGATCTAAGGATGTCACAGGGCCAGTCTGGGGCTCCAAAAAAGGAAGAATTCAGAGGAGATCAGCTTAAACTCAGGACAGCTTGCTGGGGTGACACTGAACTCACCTCAGTTCCTCGCAGAACTGTGATGCCATGACAAGCTGGAGGGCAAATACCTCTTTTTGCACCTACCAAGCAGGGACAGGATGGACTGTAAAATTTAGGTGGCAAGCCATTACTTCTCCAGGTCTCATGGGAACTTCATGACAGCAAGAGCTCCCTGGACAATGAAGGTGGTGGGAGCCATGAAGATGGGATGGGGGCTAGCTCCTGGCTCTCTGGGGCCCAAGTTTTGCATATTTTTCAATCTCACTGGCAAGAACTGAAACCACAACATGGCTCTTGGCTTTTTTTGTTTTCCTGGGAGCCCCCTATTTCCCTGGCTCTGCCCCCACCCAGGTAGCAGGCCTGGGAAACCAGAGGTGGATGGGGTCAGGCCCTACGTGCTGCCTCACATGGCCTGTCTGACCTCTTGACCCACTGGGCCTGAGGCCACAAGCTCTGCCCACATTGGTCAATAAGGAGGCTCCATTGAAGGTTATTCCTCAGTAGGCAGCTGCCAACGTTTAATTCTTTCGCCTCTTTTCTGTGGCCCCTTTAACTAATGCCACATTCTCAGCATCAGCCTTTGGCACCTCAGTGCACAAACCCCGTATAAATCTAGCTGACTTCTTTCCTTGCCTGGGGATGGTCACCATTAATGCTCTACCTGGAGACTTACAGAAGGAGCAGTAGACAGCAGTGCAGAAGGAGTCATCCTTTGAGACAGTTGACTCATTGAGTATTCGCTCTATGCCCAGTATTCTCTAGATAGCTCACTCTATGACTTCATTTTATTCCTCATGCAGCCCTATCAGATAGTTACTGCTGTCATTCCCATCTCATAGATAAAGTAAAATAACCTGCCCAAGGCCAAAGCAACAGGAATTCTTCCAGCACTCACCCATTTCTTCTTCTGCTTGTTCTTTCCAAGTAACCCCTGTTACCTGCTCCCCTGGGATGGCAGACACAGAACAAACGAACTCAACCTTCACTCCTGATCCCCACTTCTAATCCAACCCTTTACTCTGCCAACCCACTTCAAATTTCTTCCCAGAAATAATGCTTCCTGGGGCGAAGCAGTGCCCTAGAGAGACCTGTGTGGGCAAGAAAAGATGTCACAAAATTATATTGAGACCCCGATACTGATCATTTTGATCTAGAGAAGTCAGCCTTCATCCCAACAAATATGCAAAAGGGAAAGAATGTTTTGCAATCTGCAGCAGGAAAAATTAGGTGCAGGTTGCAGGGTTGGAGGGTGTTTGTCAACTATTTGAGGAGAGGCGGAGGGGTGAAGCTATGGTGGGAAGAGGCAGGGACGGGGTGGACCCAAAGGCTTATTTTTGCACCCTGGTCAACTCAGCTCCTTGGCTACAGTGTCCTCTTCAGGTCCTATGAGGAAATGCTAGAGAAATCTAAAAGCAAAAGAACCCTTAAGGTTCTGACCTCTGCACATTGCCATAAAAATTTATATTGTGGTGTACATATACAGCATCTAGTTCTTACCCCACTGCTGTGAATCAATAAGGAAGGAATCTCTCCTTGCTGGCGAAATTGAAGCTAAGAGATTTGTTCTGAAGCCCAAGGAATCCAGATAATAAATGACAGGACCTGAACTAGAGATTTAGAATTCATAACGCTGAAGCTTTGTCCACATCTTTTTTAGCCTGAGTTGCTGCCTACACATCCCCGGCTCCTTTTTCCCCAGAATTCAGGGCCATTGACCTTCAATTTCTCTTCAGATTTCTTACTGCTTTCAATTAAACAAAAAAAAAAGTGGTTAATGGAACCTGAACTATATGACCTGGGCCAGGTATAATGGGCAAGTATGTTAAGAACATTAAAACATAATTCATTTATTCCACATTTATAGAGTGCCAGCTGTGTGCCAGCCTTTACACTAAATGCCAGGGAACGTGAAATGACAGTTTGTGCTATCACAGCCCGGTGTCTCTAAGAGCAGGCAGTCTCCAGGGTGAAAAGACGGGAGCTCATTAATTCAGCCATAGTCAGCTTGGTATGTGACTTGAGTGCCGAGATGTGGGGCTACGCAGAGGCCCGGGATGTGAAGAAACTGGTGAGGGCCAGAGTCCCTGCACGGAGACACAGATATGCCAGGAGGTCATTGCCAGATTTTGGAGGTTCTTGAAGTGTGGGCCAGGAGTATGAACTTTCTTCTGTACTACTATTATTATGATTGACAACACATTAAACTCTGGCACCTACACGATCGTCTGTGATTCTTACTATAGCGCCATGAAACAGGAGGACAATAGGTATCACTCCCACTTGTCAGACAGGAAACTAAAACTATGTTCCACCAGGTATGTGATAGAGCCAGTTCCTCTGACTTCCTGGTGGGACAGTAGCCAGCTCAGCCCAGTTCTGAGTCAGTGGGTTACATAATTGTTAATGGAGATGCCTTCTGTTTGTAGTGTGTTTTGTGATTTACAAGGTGCTTTCCTGGGCGTCTTTTATTTGCTCTCTTAAACCCATGAGGAAGGCAGAGATGGTAGAGGATTCCCATTGCAGAGGAGAAAACCGAGGTCCAGAGAGACTATGGGCCTTGCCTAGGTCATAGACACTGAGAGGAAGGGCTAGGACCAGAACCCAGGCTCTCTGACTCTAGGTCCCCACTTTACCTGAAGCACAGATCATCCGGAAAGTAGAGGGAGCAGATGGAGGGGGTGGACAATAAGAGGCATTAAGCATGTCTAACCCTCACTCCCAAATCTTCCCCACTCCATCCCCTGCCTCAGTCTCCCACTTCTTCCCTGAATAGGGAAAAGGTGCCTACAACTCTTCCCACCACCAAGTCTCCCAGCACTAGGGGCCAACTCAGTCACCTCTTGCAGCCCCAGCTCCCACCTTGACTTTAGCTTTCTGGTCTTGGATACCACTAATGTGGATCCTCTCCCTGGGCCTAAGCATCTGGCTGACCAAAAGCACTTGCCCGACCGTAGTTCACAGGCTGCTTAGGATTTTTCTGGAACTACTCAGGTTACAAGTCTCCCTGCAACAGGTGACTCTTACTGGAGTTGAGTTAGCTAAATGGGGCCTCTTAGACAGTGGAATCTAAGCTGAAAGTTAACTGTATTATTTCCATTTGGTCAAGGCTAATTCCTCTAAAATTCCATCATAAAACTGTGACATTATGAAAGACTATTGGCAACAGAAAAACAGAGCAGTGTGGGTTCCCAACTCACATGAGTCACGCCCAAATATCTATAAACTCCCTTCTTGATTAAAAAATTGATTATTAAAAAAGATTATGTAACCCACACACAGTTTCTGATTAAAAAAACTTGTCTGCGTTAGTCTCTCTTCTCCATCTTACAGATGAGAAAACTGAGGACTAGAGAGGGTGAGCAAAGTACCCAAGGACACATAGTGAAAACAGGACTGACTCCAGTTCCCTGGAGTAATTCCTAGGGATATTCCACATCCTAGGGTCTCTCACACCTATTCCTGCCAAAGTCTTATCAGGTGACACATCTTTTTGGGCCTTGCCCCATTCCTGATTCCCCAAAATGCAGATCCCAATGGTTCCTTCTCACCATCACCTTTCATTCCTTCCTGTCCTGCTTTGAACTCCCAACCCCCATCTCCAGGCAGATTGGAAGCTGTGACTGTCCAGCTCTGTGGCGCCAAAGGAAGGTCAGGAAAAGCAGCCCTCAGAGGCCTTATTGCCCAACCAGGAGGGGCTGTGGATCAATTGGCTTCTGCTTCTCTTTCCTGGGTTAACCATTTCCTGACTCTGTCCCTCTGTTGATTGCTCTGCTAACCTGATCTGGAGGAAAGTAGACCAGGGTTTGGATAGGCATTTTTTACATCCCCAGCTTTGATGTAAAGGGGCAGAGGATCTCTTTCTCCGTGGGTCTAACCCCTGCATGAGCCCTGTTAGTACTCATTTGGGCAGGGGAGTCCCTAAGACTGCAAAGGGGCTTGCAGATCTCTTGGATGCCTAGTGCTCAGCTATGCCAGCCCCTCCCTGACAGTCCAGAAGAATGGCCTGGCCAGACATCACTATCACTTGCCAGGCACTCTGGATATAGATTTAATAGTAGAGGGTTGGGGGTTGCCAAGGTAAAGGAAATGAAACTGAACTAGGAACACATGAGTGTGATTGGATACAGGAAACACGGACTCACGATAGCTCAGTTCACTGCAGGCCAGCCCTCCAGCTTAGACACAGCTGTGTGTCTGCAATGAAAGTCAACTGGGTTTTTATTTTTTTAATTTATTTTTATTTTTTCCTTTTCTTTCCTCTCTCTCTGTATTTTTACTTGTTTATTGAGGTAACATTAGTTAATACAATTATATAATTTTCAAGTGTACAAAACATTTGACATCTGTATATTCTATTGTGTATTCACCAAAGTCCAGTTTCCTTCAGCTACCATATATTTGATCCCCTTTACCCATTTCACCTCCCCCTAACCCCCGATATTTGACCCCCTTTACCTCGTCTACCTCCCCGCTCCTCGCCCACCCCACTAGTAACCACTAGTCCATCGTCCTCTGGTAACCACTAGTCTATAGTCCATGTCCGTGAGTCTCTGTTTGTTTGTCCTGCTCATTTGTTGCTTTTAGGTTTATATCCCACACATAAGTGATATCATGTGATTTTCAACTTTTTCTGTCTGGTTTATTTTGCTTAGCATGATTATCTCGAGGTCCATCCATGTGGTCGCAAATGGCAGTATTTCATCTTTTCTTATGGCTAAGCAATATTCCATTGTATATATGTACCACAGCTTCTTTAGCCAATCCTCTATCGTAGGACCCTTTGGTTGCTTCCATGTCTTGGCCACCATGAATAATGCTGCTATGAATATTGTTGTGCAAATATCTTTTTGGATATAGATATTCAAGTCTTTGGGGTAAATACCCAGTAGAGGGATTGCTGGATCATTCAACTGGGTTTTTAAAGTAGAAAAACTGTCCTTTCAGCTGCAATCTTATGTAGAATTGCCATTTATGAAACTGATAAGAGCAGAGCTGCTCTGGCTGGGGTGGGAAACTCCCCCACAATATGGATGCCCCTAACAGCCCCCAGGTGGGTCCTTGCAGAACTGTGGGACCGGGCAGGACACAGCGTGGAGACCGTCAGCGCCATGCTCTTATACTGGGCAATTGACTTCATTTCTTCCACACAGAGAAAAGGACAATATCTTTGCTATGAACAGGACATGACAATCTGTTAGGTTAGCTCACAAGATTGCTGTTTCCCGCTCCTGGAAAGCTCTCGATCCACTCACATCCCCACGCCTGCTCCACGACATTAGCATCCATCCACACCACATCCCTCACCCTCCACAACCTCTTCTCCTGTTTCCCTAGCTCCAGCCAGCCTTTCTTTAATCTATATCCACACACCCCAACCCACACTCGACACCCAGGCTGCCTGAGCAGCCTTTTGAAAACACAAATGGGATCAAGTCACTTCCACTGCTTAAAACTTTTGGTGGCTCCTCAAAGCTATGGTATTCAAGGTATCCTAGACAGGGTCTACACACACACACACACACACACACACACACACACACACACACTTTTCTCCAAAAGTCATGCTTCCTCTGAGCTTGGAACATTTCCTCTTCCTGGAATGTGCCTTCCCAACTTCTTTACCTAGTTACCATCCTTCTGTTGTTTAGAAAGCCCCTTAGGTGTCACCACCTGCAGAAGGCTTCCCTAACCAGCTCCCTTCCTTTCTTATTACCAGTGACCTGTGTCGGAGACTCCTTCCACATGCTCCCTATCAAGCACTCATCTGTCTGCCCACCACAGGAATGCACGTTGGAATGAAGTCACCATTGTAAAGTGTGGCCAAAAATGGGAAGGGCTGGAGTGGAGGAGAGAGGGTTGGCATAAGGGCAAACAGGAAGGTGAGGATGAGCAGGTTGTGGTCAGGACTGGCATAAAGCTTATCTGAGAGAGATATGACTGTAGCCTCCTTGCCACTGGAGTCTTCTCCATTTGCCTCCTTCATAGATGAAACAGAAGCCATTAAACATGCATTTGTATAGTCCTCTCCTTACTCTCTTTACAAAGCTGCTTGCCCCTCCCGTTTTCTGTGTTCTAGACTTTTCTACTCACCCTCTCAGGAGCCCTTTGCTCATCTGTCTTGCTGTTGCACTCTTCTCATGAACATTTATATGGGTTCAAATTTCTCTTACCTTAAAAAGACCTTACTTTGTCCCAGTTTCTGCGCCTACTCTCCAAGTCTCCTTTAGATGGCCCCACGGCTTTGAAACATCCTCCCAACCAGGCCCCTCAAAGTTCTCTATGACAAACCAAATATATACGAAGGAACACCTAGATGCATCAATATGCAGAAGACATGAAAACCCTGCCCACCCCTTCCCAGAGGGCACCACTGTGAACAGGTTGCTATGTGACCTCCTAGTTCTATCTCTACATCTCGACCTGAGTATGTACATAAACACATACTTTTGTTCTGAAATTTTACATAAATGAGTTCATGCCATAATTTTTTTTTTCTGGGACTCACCTCTTTTGTTTAACATCTCTCTAGGTGTTCTTTCCACTATTTGAATCTGTGAATCTACCGCCATTCCTTTTTTTTTTTTTTAAGTCAGAAATAAACTCTAATAGTATATTATCAAGTAATACTTTAAACATATTTTTTGAACTTGTGGTAAAATACACATAACATAATATTTGTCATCTTAAACATTTTTAAGTGTACAGTTCAGTGGCATTAAGTACATTCACATTGTGCAGCCATCACTACCATCCATCTCCCGAACTCTTCCATCTGTAAAATTGAAACTTTATATCCATTAAAAACTAACTTCCCATTCCCTACTCCCTCAGCCCCTGGCAACCACTATTCTACTTTCTGCGTCTATGAACTGGCCTACACTAAGCACCTTATAGGAATGGAATCGTATAGTATTAGTTTTTTTGTGACGGATTGATTTCACTTAACATAATGTCCTTAAATATTGTAACATGAGTCAGAGTTTTCTTCTTTTTTAAGGCTGAATAACATTCCACTGTATGTATATATTACATTTTGTTTATCCATTCGTCTGTCTATGGACACTTGGGTTGCTTCCACCTTTTGTCTATTTTGAATAATGCTGCTATGAACATGGATGTACAAATATCTGTTCAAGTCCCTGCTTTCAATTCTTTTCAGTTCTTCCAGTTCAGCATACCCAGAATGGAATTACTGGACCATATAGTAATTCTATTTTTATTTTTTTGAGGAGCACCATTTCTTTTTAATACCTGCATAATATTCCTTCATATGAATAATATTTCTCAAATATGATCTGACTGCATATCTACTTGTAAACATTTGGATAATCTCAATTATTTTCCTATTGTAAACAATGCTGCAATTAACATCTTTAAAGTGTGTACATCTTTGTGCAAATACACATGTATTTCTGTGGGAAGATTCCTAGAAAGATAATGCTGGGCATTATATACATTTGGAAGTTTAATAGTCATTGTCAAATTACCTTCTTAGAAATTTTCACCAACATACAGTCTCATTAACAATATATTTGAGTGTTTCTACCTGCATCCTGGCCTACACTCCTTGCTATCGATTTTTTAAATTGTTTTCAGAATGACAGTTGTGGTTTGATCAGCATTTCCCTCGTTACTAGTGAAGCAGAGCATCCTTTCCAATGTTTACTGGCTGGCTGTATTTCTTCCTCTGTGACGTGTCTTTTTCAACCCTGCCGATAAGCATTTCGATCCTCACTTTACTTGACCTTCTTGTCGCCTTTGCCACTGTTGCCAACTATAGAATTTTAGGTTTGAAATTATTTTCTGTTGGAATTCTGCAGACAATGTTCCGCAGCCTCTTAGAATCCACGGTTGCTATTGAAAAGTCCTACGCCATGCTGATTCCTGATCCTTAGTATGTGACCTGCTTTTTTCTGTCTGAAAGTATTTAGGATCTTCCCTTCACCTCTGATATTCTGAAATTTTATGACATGCCTTTCATGAGTCTCTTTGTGCCAAACCCCTTTTAATCAAGAGACTCATGTTTCAGTTCTGGGAAATCTTATATAGTTTTTCTTGAGTAATTTATTTTCCTGTGTTCTCTCTTTTTTGAACTCTTTTGGTTGGATGTTAGATTTTCTGGACTGATTCTCCAAGTCTTTTTCTCTTTTCCTTCTCTCTTGCTTTCTTTCTCTCTCATTCTCATATTATTTCTCTTGATTTTGATTTACAACTCTTCTATTGAATTTTAAATTTTAACCCTCATAGTTTTTATTTCCAGTTCTCTGATTGTCTAGTTTTCATGGCATCCTCAGAAAGATGCCCAGAGAGGGGGGTCAGGGGTGTCTAAAGCGGCCTGGGCTCCTCACTCTGCCTTCCCCCTCTCCCGTGAAAGCCTCCTCTGAGGTCCCACATGGCTCCTCCAGTCTGGACTCTGGTGCTGCTGGTGGGGGCTGCCTGGGGCCAGGACCACATACCTGTCCCTGTCCGGTAAGCTGGACTGAAAAATGAGGGTTGGGGATGCTCTGAGGAGTGAAGGGCAAAGTTGGGGGATGCAAGCAGCCTAGTGATGAAGGGCACAGTCCTGAGGAGGAAGGCGGGAGCCCGATGGGATGGGAAGAGGATGGTGAACAGAAATAGGGGTCCCCACAGCCTCAGAGTCTAGAACTGAGGGGTGTGAGAACTCGGTGGGAGCAGAACAGAGCTGAAATGTGAGGAAGGAGGGAGGAGGTACAGAGCTGGGGAGATAGGTCTGAGGATGGCAGAGGAAGAGAAAGAGATTGAGCCCTCAGCATGGAAAAAACCTAAGGCAGACCCAGGGAGAGAGAGACTTCAAGTAGGAGGCAACAAGGAATGATGGCTGGCTCCGTGTCCTGGAGCTTGCATGAGGAGATTCGAACAAGGAGAACTTGAAGAACTAAAACAAAGGGCTGCTCTATGTGGCCCACGCCACCTGGGGAGGAGCGGCAGTTTCTCTGGAGTTTGTAAGGTGAAGAGAGGTAGTCAGTCCCTTTGTTAGTTATTTCTATGTTCAGCTGCATGTACTTGGGGCAATACCACCCTCGCCACACACCCAGAAATACAGGACCTATATATTCCCTACTCTATGGGGAAAATTTGGGCTATAGGACAAGAAGACCTCAACCCAAAAGAAGGAGATTCCCCAGGTGTAAACTGATTCCTCCTCGCCTGAAACCGAACCACTCCTGATGTCCAGGGCATAGAGGGATGGAGGGTACTAGTGGAGATGTGAGGAGCTCTCAGAGAAGATACATGTTCAGATATAGATGAGAACTTAAGGTGAGCTCACAGTTATTGAGGCTTATAATTCTTGATAATGACAAGTATTGTATTTTGTTATTTCTTCAAATTAATCTTAAGGAAAGAGAAGCCTCCAGACCAGAAGCCAGTCGCCGACAGCTCTAGGGATGACTGTGAGTTGAAAATCAGGACTGCTCAGACCTTCTCTCCCTCCCAGGGAGGTCACCCATGTGCCCTTGGGGGCAGCCTTTAGGTGACAGAAGGTGGAGGGTACTATGGAGGAGTCCAGTATAAGCCCTGCCTAAGATTCACATTCTAATTAACAGCAACAACAACAAGTATATGCTGCCCAGACAAAGCCTGTCTGCCCCCCAGAATCCAGCCCCCAGGACCTCAGATTGCTATCTCAGATCTAGACATTCTGCCCACCCCATCCCACTCCTGCCCTGAATTTCTCCTAAGAGATGACTTATTTCTCAGATTCTCTTTCCCAAATCTTGGACCCTAATCTTAGTGGCCACCTTCTCTAAGCTTAGCAGCCCTACTAACCCCTACCTGTCCAGTTTGGCTCTGAAGCTGGCCCTCTCCTCTCTCCTGGCCTCACAGTGGCCTTTTCTTCCCAGCCATTATCACCCAGTGTGATTTTGAGGACAACTCCAAACCCTTCTGTGATTGGACACAAGTGTCCACAGATGATGGGGACTGGACTCGAACCAGCGGGCCCTCCCCCACCGGCAGCACTAGGCCCCCTGGGGGGTATCCCAATGGAGGTGAGGAAGCCTAAGGTTTAGAGAGGCAGCTGGGAGGTGGGCACAGTCAGATCTGGGTGGAGGAAGCAGGAAGGCAGCTGGGAGTGGGCTCCTGGGCTCTGGGAAAGATGTGGGGGCAGCCCTTGAGGATGGCAGAACCTCACCATCCTGAGCTCTGCCTCCCCAGAGGGCTACTTCCTGTACATGGACTCGAGCACCTTCCCCCGGGGCGGAGTGACCCGTCTGCGCAGCCCCCGAATATGGGAGCAAGGCCCCCTGTGCGTGCACTTCGCTTACCACATGTTTGGACTGTCATGGGGCGCCCAGCTCAAACTGCTGCTATTCAGGGGCACCAAGGACAAGCACCCCCACCTGCTCTGGAAACACCTTAACACCCAGAGCCTCTCCTGGATGCCCACTGCTGTCACTGTGCCGATAGGGCACGCCCTGCCCAGCCGGGTGAGGCTGAGGGCAGAGCCTGGGGCCCCAGTGGGAATCTGGATGTTGGGGGACCTGGGAGGGGCTGGGACAATGAGGGGTGTGGGGATGCTGGGTCATCTGAATTCAGGCAGGAAACTGGGAGCCTGAGACAAAGGGGCTCACAAGATAGGTGGTCCCTCCTCCCTCCCACAGCTGGTATTTGAAGGAGTAAGGGGCAGCACTGCTTACCTGGACATCTCTTTGGATGCCATCTCTGTCCATCGTGGCTCCTGTAATCAAGGTGAGCCCCTGTCCCTCCTCCTCTTCCTCCCACCTCGCCCCATCATCTGCTCAGGGTGACAGGAGTAGCTCAGGGACCATGACCCTAGTTTCTTCCAAAGCTGAGGCTACTTTCTTCCCTCTACTTTCACACCCTCTACCTTTGACTCTTAAAGTAGCCACATCTAGAGAGAGGTTCTCCCTTAACAGAGTTGTGGTGATACCTATGCTAAAGTGACCAATCATTCTGGTTTGTCTTGGGCTGTCCATATTTTAGCACTGAAAGTCCTGAATCACGGGGAACCCTTAGGCCTGGGCAAACCTGGATGTTTGGTCACTCTGGCTGCTACTCCAGATCTATCCAAAATTATCCCTCTAAGCTGATGTTAGAGATTTTAGGGGATCAAATTCAAGGGAGGGAAAATGCTAGAAGCTGGGTACAAGAAACTAACACTGAGCACAGGCCCTGTGCTAGATGGCCCTGTGCTCAGACAATCTAATTTACAACATGCAGATATTGTTTATTCCTAGTTTATAGGTGAGGAAACTAAGGTTTGGGCAATTTAAGTAATCTATGCCAGGAATACAGTTGCTAGAGAGTGGGACTGTAGCTGGCTTTCCAGTCCTTTGTGGCTCAGATTAGGACTCCAGACTGAGGCATGCTCTTCAGGGCCTCCTTCTCTCGGTAAAAATAAAATCTTTCCTCCTTTCTTTCCCCTCAGTCTGCATAATGCATACGTGTAGTTTCGACACTCCAAATGATCTCTGTGGCTGGAGCTGGATCCCAACAGCCTCTGGGGCCAAGTGGGTTCAGAAGAATGGGTCATCAGGGGTGTTGAACGTGGGGCCTGAGGATGACTTCTCCAGCCCTGGTAGTGAGTAATGGCCACACTCCTGTCCTCTGACTTTCTGGGCCTGTAGTGACCTCACAGGAGTTTATGATGTTTGCCTGACAACCCTACAATAATAACTCTACTTGGGACAATCTGGGGTGAACCCCAGCAACCTCAAACTTCTATCAGCTCAAGTTACCTGGCAGAAAGCAGATTCCAGGCATCCAGCCAGATCACCCTATTGCCACCCCACAATCACCTTTCTTCTGCATTCATCCAACAAATATTTATTGAGTACCTACAATGTGCCAGGTACTGTCCCAAGCACTTAAGATATATCAGCTTACAAAATAGACAAGAAGCAGTGGGGGGCCAGGGGAAGAAAGTTCCTGAAACAATAAAGAAGTAAATTATACAGTTATAAGATAAGCAGTGCTGTCAGAAAAATACAAAGTAAGGGGATTAGGAGTGCAGGGGTAGGGTGGGCTGTACATCTCAAATAGGGCAGTCAGGGTAGGTCTCATTCAGGTCACATAAGAGTACAAATTTGAAGGAGGTAAGGGAGTGAGGCATGAAAATTTCAAAGGGAAGAATGTTCTAACCAGAGGGGCCAGCCATGCAAAAGCCCTGAAGTAGCAGCGAGCTGGTGGGGATTGGGGGTGGGAGGCTGTTGAGGTATAGCAGGGAGCCATGTGGCTGGGATGGAGAGGATGAGCTCAGACAAATCCTAGGAGGGAAAGACCATGTAGAGCCTTGAAGGCCGTTGTCAGGACTGTGGCTTTTATTCTGCATGGATGGTGAGCCTTTGCAGATTTGGAGCAGAGGAGTGACTTGATCTGACTTATGTTTAAAAGGATCTCCTGGTTTTTGTGTTGAGTATCCACTGAAAGGATGGGGCAAGGGTAGATACAAGGAGGTCATTTAGGAGGCTTTTGCAATAATCCAGGTGATACTCTTTCTTCCTTCTGTTCCATCCATGTCTATCCATAGCTTCTTTTCCCCCACCTCCCTGTGCTCTTGGCCGGGCTTTACTTCTTCTTCCTATGGTTGACTCTTTTCTTCCCTCCTTCCTTCTCTTCCTTCTCTCTTCCCTTTCTTCCCTCCCTCCCATCCTCCTCTCTTCCTTCCTCCCTCCCACTCTCCCTCCCTCTCTCCACTTTGGCTCCTTTTCTTTCCCTCACAGCAACCACCTCCTCTCTCAATCTGCCCCACACAAAGCACACTTTCAGCAGTCACTGAGTGCGCGCCATGCCAAGCTTCACAAGTCAGAGAAGATCATGCTGCCTAATTTCCTCTCCGAGTTTCTACCTCTTCTTTTTCCTCCTTCCCTTTGCCTGGCTCTATTCTCAAGCCTTTCCCTTCCTACCACCTTATTTTCATTTTCTTTTCTCTTTATCTCCAGCTTTCCCTCCCCCTACTCCATGGCCCTTTCTGTCCTATCCAACTAACTCCATATTCTCCTTCCTTTGAGCTTTTCTGCTGCCTGAGGTTTGCCTTCTAGAAAGACCTTGAGAAACCCCCACCCGTTTGTATTCTAAGCCCTTGGAGAGCAGGGCAGGACCAGTCCATCTCTGTGTCACTCCCCACCCCCAGCATTTAGCGCCCTAACCCATGCCCAGCAGTTTAAGTAGATATTGTTGTTGTTGTTTTAGAGTTTCTCTCTCTTCCTTTTTCTATCTTGCTCAATTATATTTTTTCACCTTTCCTTTCTTTTTCTCCTACTTCTCTATTTCTCAAATGTCCCAGTATCGCCACGCCTTGCTTTTTCTTTCACCATTTACCATGCCCTTTCCTTCCCTTTCCCTCCTCCTTCCCTGTCGTTTCTTCTCTTTTCATTTCTCTCCCACTCCCTCCCGTTCTCTTTTTCAGCCCTCTCCTCTCCCTTTCCCGAAGTCCACCTTCCCCGGGCCGGCGTGCGCTCATCAAACGGGCCCGCGTTCGACTCCGGAACTTGCACGCACACAGGCGCGCTGTCCGCAGCCGCCTCAATTCCCCCCACTCGCACCCCCCGCCCCGGCTACCAGTTGCGTCACCGAGCGAGGTCCAGGTCGATTGGCTGCCTAGGCTGGTGGCAAAGATAGGGTCGGGAGATGCTAGCCCATCTGTGTCAGACCAGCCGTCTTTCACCGGTTTGTGTGAATTGACTGTGTCCAATGGGTCAAGAGAATAAAGACATTATGAGTCTGAGGGACCTAAAAAATCAGAACCCAAAGGATAAGGTTTTGGCTGCTGCTTCTGGGAGGATACCACTTTTCACACGGTGACGCCCACTTCCTTACCTCGCCCTGCCAAGCACTTCTGGAAGGACTGAAGGCGTCGGCCAGTCCTGAGACATGTGTAGGCCCACCTCAGCGCTGGCTGATTCTAGGCAGCTGTTGGAGCTCCCCAGGGCCAGGCCTCCTGCCCTTGCAGGGCCCGTCTGGGTGCCATACTGCCCCAATTTCAATCACTCCATCTTATTGACCTTTTGCTTCGCAGGTGGTTTCTACATGCTCCTGGACTCCAAAAATGCAAAACCAACGCAGAAATCTATCCTCCTGAGCCCCCTGAGCCAGTCGTCTGGCTGTCTGAGCCTGTCTTTCCACTATACACTCCATGGCCAGTCTCCTGGAGCAGCCCTCATTGTCTATGCTTCCGTCTTGGGTGAGAGGGGCAAAGTCACAGGATTTACATTAACCTGAGGCTCATCCCCCAGGGTCAAGTTAATGGGAAGATATGGGTCTAGGGAAATCTGGGCTATGTGCAAGATTATTCCACAGAGTGGAATCAAGAGCCGTCAGGGCACTGGATTCTAGAAAAATAAAGTGTCAGGAGGTGAGAGAGAACGTGCTGCATTCAGGGGAAAGGAATACACTACAAGCATTCCCTTTGCTGCTTATCCTTCTGAGTACAAGTTAGAAGTCATTTTCCAGTCCCTGAAATCCCATGTCCTCACATTCCTTTCATTGCAGGTAGCATCCGGAAACACACTCTTTTCTCAGGACAATCTGGTCCCAACTGGCAGCCTGTTTCTGTCAATTACACAGGCCAGGGACAGATTCAGGTATAGAGGAGCAAGAGGTCGGGTTTCCTTGCCCATGGTAGGCACCCCTGATATTGAAATGGATTGAGGGCCTGGGCACTGGGAACAAAGTGCCTGGGTCCCTGAACAGAATAAAATCAGATGGGGGTTGGGCTTTTGGGCTGTTTTCTCATGCCCGGCCCCCTCTCCTTCTCTCTTCAGTTTACTGTGGTGGGCGTGTTTGGAAAGATCCCAGAACCAGCTGTGGCAGTGGATGCAATCAGCATTGCTCCCTGTGGGGGTGAGAGCAAGGCCCTGGGAGGCCCAGATCTCTTAGAACCAGGGGTGGGATGGGGGAGGAATAGAGAGCATGGCCAAAATTTCTCAAATTTCCCATTTTGATCCCTTAGAGAGCTTTCCTCAGTGTGACTTTGAAGATGATGCCCATCCTTTCTGTGACTGGGCCCAGACATCAGGGGATGGTGGATACTGGACCAGAGGTAGTAAAAATATGCCTATCCAGCATACAGACCCCTTCGGAATGTTATTTAACAGAGGTGAGGAGATTGAGGACCCCTTGAACCAACAGATTACTAAATCTGCTCCCAGCTGGAGGGCTGGCTGATGTGATTAATGGACCGATGTTGTAGGTAGTAAAGATAAGCCAGCAGGTATTTATTGAGAAATGCCATGGGGCCAGGGCTGTGCAGATGACAGAGGTAGAGTGAGTTGAGGATTCTTATGGCTGTGGAGTCACTGAAACCCCCAGAAAATCCAAGCATCTCACTTCACTGAGCTCAAGGCTTCAAAATCCACTATCTTGTTTTCATTCAAGATATTTACTGGTGCAGCCAACAAAGGAATCTGAGTTGCTGGTTTTATTTTCTCTTTCTGATCCTGCCATATTCAGTTAGAAAAGTCCAAAATGAGCAAACAAAACAAAATGCTACAATGTGGGGAGTTTGGGTATTTGCATCAAATCCCCATTTGGAAAAACAAGGTGTTACTAAAGAAATCAACATTAGTCTTGTCATGTGGAGGTTTCTCATCTTGTCCATTCCTTTCTTTTGCCCAGAAGGTGGCTTTATCTACCTTGAGGCTAACAACTTCTCCCGGGCAGGCCAGTCTTTCAGACTGGTGAGTCGGCCCTTCTGTGCTCCTGGTGCTGTCTGTGTGGAATTTGCCTACTACATGTATGGCCTTGAAGAGGGCACTAAACTGAGGCTCCTCCTGGGGAGTCCTGCAGGCAGTTCCCCAACTTCTCTCTGGCAACGCATTGGGTCTCAGAGCCCTGACTGGCTGAATGTCTCCATCACCATCCCTTCAGGACATCAACAGCCCATGCAGGTGAGAGAGTGAGCCCTATAAGTATGTGTGTGTGGGGCATGGTAAGGGGGACATAATGCCCAGTATCCGGGAGCACATCCAAGGCTGAGAAGATGGGAGGCTGGAAGAACAGAGCAGAGGTGAATTTGGTGTTCCTGAGAAGGCTGCAGAAAAGAGGCAGGGCTAGAGTTGGACTGCTGAGGCTGGAACAAGGTGACATTTTGGCAGAGATGCTGAGGTGCCTGGCAGAGTTGCTGAGGTGCCGGGGATTTACTTTCATTTCTATTTTCCTTCTCTCTCCCTCATTATTTTTAGTTGATACTTGAAGCCATCAGAGGTACCAACACTGCCTTTGTTGTTGCTGTGGGTTTCATCTTGATCAATCACGGGACCTGTCGAGGTAAGACAGAACCCAAGACCCCAGAAAGCGGACAATGCTCTGGGATGACCATCCCTTGGGTTTCTCTATACGTACTGCTTAAAACGCAAGTCCTCTCTTGTGCCTGAGTTCTCAAGACAGCTTTGTTGTCTGTATTCTGCCCACCTCTACCTTCTTGGCCCCATCAGGATGCTTACTTGAGTGGATGTGACTTTGGTGCCATAAATTTCTGTAATGGGATCCAGAACCCCTTACCTATTGACTGGTGATCCTGAAGGGAAGACTGATATCCTATTCATTTTGAGTTTCCTGTTCCTGGCACAATATCTGATATATATTAGGAACAGTGGTTGTTGAGTGTTTGTTAAGAGAGTGAAGATAAGGTTGGGAGTGGAAGGAGGGGTGTGAATAAGCTATCCCTTTGATCCTACCCACTCCAATTAGATGTGAGTGAAGAAAGTGGTGGTATGATTTTGACTAAACTCCAAGGATTTTTTCTTTCTTTGCAGAACCTGTGCCAACAGTGCTTCCTTCCAAATCTGCTGGCCCTTCTGAAACTCCTCTCTCCACTGAAAAACCTATGGCCACCACAGGAAAACCTGTGGCCCCCACAGAAAAACCTACTGTCTCCAATGAAATATCCACCATTCCCACAGAAAAGCCCACTGTCCCCACAGAAAAGCCCACCGTCCCCACAGAAAAACCCATCTTCTTCACAGAGAATCTCACCATTTCCACTGAAAAGCTCACTGTTCCCACTGAAAAGCCCACTGTCTCCACAGAAAAACCCACTGTCCCATCTGAAGAGCCCACTGTCCCAACAGAAAAGCATACTGTGTACACTGAAAGGACTACTGTCCCCACAGAAAAGCCCATAATATCCACAGAAAAGTCCACTATCCCTACAGAAAAGCCCACAGTTCCCACAGAAAAACCCACTGTCCTACCTGAAGAGCCCACCATCCCATCAGAAAAACATACTGTCCACACTGAAAGGACTACTGTCTCCACAGGAAAGCCCATAATATCCACAGAAAAGTCCACCATCCTCACAGAAAATCCCACCATCCCCACAGAAAAGCCCACTGTCTCCACAGAAAAGCCCATTGTCTCCACAGAAAAGCCCACTGTCCCCACAGAAAAGCCCACCGTCCCCACAGAAAAACCCACCGTTCCCACAGAAAAACTCACCATCCCCACAGAAAAACCCACCATCCCCACAGAAAAGCCCACTATCCCCACAGAAAAGCCCACCGTCCCCACAGAAAAGCCCACCGTCCCCACAGAAAAACCCACCGTCCCCACAGAAAAACCCACCATCCCCACAGAAAAACTCACCATCCCCACAGAAAAGCCCACTATCTCCACAGAAAAGCCCACCATTCCCACAGAAAAGTCCACCATCCCCACAGAAAAGCGCACTGTCCACACAGAAAAACCCACCATCCCCACAGAAAAACCCACCGTCCCCACAGAAAAGTCCACTATTTCCACAGAAAAGCCCACCATTCCCACAGAAAAACCTGCTGTCCACATTGAAAGGACCACTGTCCCTATGGAAAAGCCCACCATCCCCACAGAAAAACCCACCATCCCCACAGAAAAGCCCACCGTCCCCACAGAAAAACCCACCATCCCCACAGAAAAGCCCACTGTCCCCACAGAAAAGTCTACGATCCCGACAGAAAAGCCCACTATCCCCACAGAAAAGCCCACTGTCCCCACAGAAAAGTCTACCCCACCATCCCCACAGAAAAACCCACCATCCCCACAGAAAAACCCACCATCCCCACAGAAAAACCCACCATCCCCACAGAAAAACCCACCATCCCCACAGAAAAACCCACCATCCCCACAGAAAAACCCACCATCCCCACAGTAAAACCCACTGTCCCCACAGAAAAGTCCACTATTCCCACCGAAAAGCCGACTGTCCCTATAGAAAAGTCTACGATCCCCACAGAAAAGCCCACTATCCCCACAGAAAAGCCCACTATCCCCACAGAAAAACCTGCTATTCACATTAAAAGGACCACCATCCCCACAGAAAAGCCCACCGTCCCCACAGAAAAGCCCACTATCCCCACAAAAAAGCCCACCGTCCCCACAGAAAAACCCACCATCCCCGCAGAAAAGCCCACCGTCCGCACAGAAAAACCCACCATCCCCACAGAAAAACCCACCGTCCCCACAGAAAAGCCCACCATTTCCACAAAAAAGTTCACTATCCCCACAGAAAAGCCCACCATCCCCACAGAAAAACCTACAATCCTCACTGAAAAAACTATGGTCCCTACTGAAAAGCCCACCTTCTCCACTGAAAAACTGACTGTCCCCACTGAAAGGCCCACAGCTCCTGCAACACCTCAACCCAGCCCAACACTTGTACCCAAAGGGCCTACAGTCCTGGTAATGCCTCCTACTATTCCACAAACCTCCATGACCACTGTGACCCTGGCTACCACTGCAACCCCTAGACCTATTCCAGGTATGTGATTATTGGACAAGGGCTGAAGATAAGAGAATGTGACTAGGAGAGAGAATTATGGAAAGGGATGCTTCTAGTAGAAAACTATAGCATTAGAGGAGAGATAAATCAGACATGGTGACTTTAAAAGAAATGATAACTGACTACGCTGAGTGAGAGGGATAGCAGGGCATGGGTGAGTGGGGGTAGTTGGGAACCAAATGCCAGGCTTACTTACTCTTATCATTTATTTAAATTGAGATACAATTCATTATACCGTTAAATTCCTCCTTTTAAAGTGTACAATTCAGTTGTTTTAGTATATTCACAAGATTGTGCAAACATCATCACTTTCTAATTCCAGAATATTTTCATCACCCCCAAAAGAACCCTGTACCCATTAACAGTTACTCCCCATTCCTCTCCACCCCCAATCCTTCACAACCACTAATCAACTTTCTGTCTCTATGGATTTACCTGTTCTAGACATCTCATACAAATGGAATCATATACTATGTAGTCTTTTGTGACTGGTTTCTTTCACTTATCATAATGTTTTCAAGGTTCATCCATGTCGTAATTTGTATCAGGACTCCATTCCTTTTTCTGGCTGAATAATATGGGCCTGCTTCTTAGAGAAGAACTTGAGTGTGGGGGTAGAGAAAAAACGAGAAGTCTCCCTGGGAAATGCTGTAGAGTGGAGGCTTGATGGAGGCTGTTTTCCCCTTAGCAAGCTGCCCCGCAAATGCCCACTACGAACCTTGCGCCTGCCCGGCATCCTGCCAGAGCCCCAAGCCTAACTGCGGACTTCTCTGTAAGCCTGGCTGTGTCTGCAATTCTGGCTTTTTGTTTAATGACTCCCACTGCATCAATGCCTCTTCCTGTAACTGCTTCGACAACAACAATTCCTATAAGGTAAGACCATGGAATGCCAAGATCTCCTGTGGGAGATTGCGAGTGGAACATCTGGGTTCTGGTTCCATCTGCTCCCCAAGTGAGGTGAATTTGGATCCAAGGGACAATCCCAAAGGATCAGTTCACAAGCAGTGATTACACAATGGTGGAGTGATTCATTCAGCATGTGGTTTTGATTGTCATCTTTGTTCGTACAATAAATGTTTGTTGAGTGCCCCCTTTGACTGGGCATGATGCTGGGCTGTGCAGAAGATTCCATCATTCCATGGCCCTGTGCTTAAGTGCTCCTAACAGTCTCAATATTTCTGTACTTCTCTGTCCTGTACTGGCAGCCTTGATTAGACACTAGACCATCCAGGGTGTGCAGGTCCTTCATCTCCATTCAGAGGAAAGTTGGGGGTCTCTGGGTATGCTGAGAGCCCTGGACACTGAGTAGGCATGTTCAGGGCAGAAAAAGTATTCCAGAATGTTTTCCCAAAGCAACTTGAAAATCCTGATAGGATAGGTGAAAAAGAGCAGTTATTGTTTTTGTCTCCCCTCATTGATGTCCACCCCCTCTCCCTGGGGGTGGAGGGAGATTCAACAAGAGCAGAGGCTCTGATGAGCATACACTCTGGGCCAGCACTGTCCAAAAGGAGCAGCATGCAAGCTGTTTTATGTTTCCTAATAACCATATTAAAAAAAGAAACAGGTTAAACTAATTTTAACAATCTACTCAATCTCAAATATTCTCATTTCAACATGTAGTCAATAGTTACTAATGAGATTGTTTACAGTCGCATTTTTTTCATACTAAGTCTTCAAAACCCAGTGTATTTTACACTTACAGCATATCCGAATTTGAACCGGCCACATTTCAAGAGTTCAGAGGCCCCATGTGACTGATGGCCACTGTATTGGACAGAGCCGCCCTAAAATCAGGCCAATCTAAGTTTGAATCCTTGGTCCAGCATTCTTGCTGAGTGACCTTGGGCAAGATTCTTTACCTCTTTGAATCTGTTTTCATATCTATAAATGTGCACAGTAAGATTTTCTACCTCATTAGATGGTTGTAAAGATGAAATTAGATCCTGATACAGACCAATTTCTTAATAAATGTTAGTTATTATTATTTTAGCAGTTTATGATAACTACCATATGCAACCTGTTAATGGTGCATTAAGCTATTCATTAGTGTCCAGTGCCTCTTCTCACTTCCGGGTGTTCCTTCTTTTGGTTGTCAGAGTTCCTACTTGTCTCTTCGAGGGCTACTTCTTCCCCCACTCCAGTCTTCTTAACTAGTCTCCTGGGTGTCCCTGTGTCAGGGTTAGGAATAGCTTCAGCTGCAACCTGAGTAGAACAATCTGTCAGCATCAAGAATCTTCCCTACTCTGGAAGACATGTATTAACTGAGTATATATTCACTTATATATTCAACGAATGTTTATTGAGTATTTTGAACCCTCTCAGCATTGGAGTCACCGTGAATAAGGCATAGTCCTTATTCTCCTAATGCTGTCAGATTCTGAGAAACACATTGGGTCTTGGTTCACTCTTTCATTCAGCAAGTATTTATTGAATGAGAGCTCTTGGACAGGCAGTGTGCTATGTGTTGGGGTTAAGACAGTGGGTAAAGATAGACATGGTCCCTCATAGGGAGCTTATGATCAAATAATACCAAAGCCAAATATTAAATGCACTTGTTTGGTAAGTCCTGGGAGGGAAAAGCACCCAGAGCTATGATGATGACCTAGTCAGGGAGGTTTGGAAAGTCTTCCTGAGAAAGAAGTGTCCCTTGAATTGAACCTGCTGACCTAGAAAGGAGGAAGGAGAGTGTTCCAGGGTGTGAGAAAAACATGAGCAAATGTCCTGTGATGTCCAGGAACATCTGGTAGGTGGTGGGAAGAGGAAGAGTAAGTAGGAGCAAGGTCAGGTCTGCAGGTGTGGTGGAGGAGAAGGGGCCTATAGCACAGGTTGACAGAGTCTACCTAAGAGATACAGTGTTGTGACCCCCAATCCCTTGCTCCCAGCCTGGGGCAGAGTGGTTCAGCCCCAATTGCACAGAACTTTGCCGCTGCTGGCCTGGAAGTCGGATAGAGTGCCAGATCTCTCAGTGTGGGACACACACGGTGTGCCAGCTGAAGAATGGCCAGTACAGATGTCACCCCTATGGTGAGACTCTCCCCTCATGCTGTCCCCACCTGCCAGCCTGTCAGAGTGGGTGTGACACCAGGGTCCCAATCCCTCCCTTGACCAGAGAATCTGGGACATGCCGTTGGGTGGGGGAGTTGGCTGTGGAACCTAGACTGGTGAATCAGCTTCACATGGTCCCCTTTCTCCTCTCGGCAGACACTGCCACCTGCTTTGTCTATGGAGACCCTCATTATCTCACCTTTGACGGGAGGCACTTTAATTTCATGGGCAAATGCACCTACATCTTGGCACAACCCTGTGGCAACTCAACAGGTAAGGTCCTGGAGATGCCCCTGTGGCCTGGGTAACGGGTCTTAGGTTAGAACAGCTGGGCATGGGAGCAGATAGGAAAGGCAAGTAAAATAAGGGTTGACATGCCCACCCCAGAAGCAAGACTTTCTCAGTAGCAGACTAATGGGGAAAATGCACTTTAAGACACTTTTCTTTATCAGTTGCTTCCTCGGCCAGTTTTTATTGAGATGCCCACCTGGCATAGTGGCAATAAAGGGAACAGAGAAGTAGCACAAACACCTGCCCTGGAAGATATCCCAGTCCACTGAGGGTAGACGTTATCAGCACACTGTGAGAGACTGTTCTGGAAGAGGCAGACAGTCATGCCCCACTCATATCTGGGTCCGAGCTTCCCTCTCGAACTGCAGAGCAGGTGTGTCTGTAACCCTTTATCCCCACAGTGCCAGGTATGGATCCCCCTCAGGGGATACTCAGAAATGCTTGTTGAATGAGCCCCTGGGCACTCTTCATCCCTCTCCCCACCCAGTGCCCTTCTTCAGGGTGATGGTGAAGAATGAGAAGCGAGGACAGGAAGGCACGTCTTGCCTAAACAAAGTCTACGTGAGGCTACCCGAGACCAACATCACCCTGCTCCGGGGCAGGCGCACGCTGGTGAGTCCCATTTTCTGCTCAACTTTGCTGAGGCTGCCAGGCCTGGCTTCAGCCTGTTTGTGGGCTGCCTCGGCCTCGTACTGGCCAGTTCCTGCAGCCTACAGATTTTCTCAGGGAGGGGGTCCAGAGCACTCCAAGTGAAGAGATCTTTAGGATTGCCATGGAGGGTGGATGTAGGAGTCTGCTGGAGATCTTCCTGACCCTCAGATATGTCTCTCTCTTTCTTCAACCCCACCTTCCAGGTTGGGAGTCAACAAGTCACTCTCCCAGCAATACCTTCTAAAGGCATCTTCCTGACTCCAAGTGGGCGATTTGTAGAACTGCAGACTGCGTTTGGTTTACGACTGAGATGGGATGGTGACCAGCAGCTGTTTATGAGTGTGCCCAGGTGAGAGGGCAATCCGGGGAGGCAGCTGCCACTTCTCCCCACTCTGCCTCTCTCCCTCTCCCCAAACTCTCTCATTCCCTTCCCCTTCCATTCCAGGCACTAATTCTCTGTCTGGGTAGGAAGCGCCCAGCTCAACTGGCAAGCCTCCTTTTGGATGAGGAGACAGGAGGAAATGGTTTCAGGGCAATGTGATAATAGCAGGATATACACACAATGCTTTGGGAATGTGCTAGAAGGAGTCACTAATGGGCTATGGGAACTTTCAGAAGAGTGGTCGGTCACTTGATCCCAGTCTTCAAGAAAGAGTGGCTTGCAAGGGAAAAATTTTATAGAAATAGTGAACAGCAAATGCAAGGAAAAAATTGGAACGTCTTAGGGCTAGAAAGAGGTATGTTATGGTTGGAAATAGGGTGTGAGCAGATGAAGGAGAGGAGGAGAATCTGTAAAGATGGCTTGGGGGTGAGAGCTGTGAGGTCCTTGTGTGCCTTGCACCTTGTATAGACCCTTTGATAGGAACCTGCACCTCTTAATCCTCCACCCATCTCGCTCATCCCCTCTCTGCTGTGGTCCTCAGATGACTGAGGCCCCCTCTTTTCATTAACGCTTCCTCCTCACCTGGCCCCCGCAGGACCTACTCTGGCAAACTCTGTGGTTTATGTGGCAACTATGACGGTGACAGTAGCAATGACAACCAGAAGCCCGATGGCAGGCCAGCAGGAGATGCGGAGGAGCTGGGCAATAGCTGGCAGACAGTGGAGGACAAAGACGAGGAGTGAGCGAGGACGCCCCATCTCTGTTTCTGCCCTCCTGCTCCTTTGTCCCTTCTAAGAACCAAACTCCCTGACTGATATCACCCTTTTTTTCCTCTCTTCTCTTCTGCATGCCCCCACTTCTGTCCTGGCCAAGTTCATGAACTCATTACCACCATGCTCAGCCCTGTCATCAATGGTCTTCAGGCAATTCTGAGCAGCCCCCTTCTTGCTTGCCCGGCCCAGGTTTTTCTACCTCCTTTAGGGCTTGGTGTTCAAAAGTTCTCCATTAGGGATTGACAAGAAAGGGGAGACCGCTGGGGTAAGGGCTGGATGGATTAGCCTTGCCCTTACGGCATTTGGGGTGGGGTCTCTTCTAGGTGCCAGAAGAACCCGGTAAATCCCCCATCTTGCAGCTCAGCCTTACAGAAGACTCTCTCGGGGCCAGAATTCTGTGGACGGTTCATAGTCTCCCATGGAGCCTTTGAGTATGAAAGGGAGCAGGATGGGTGGAGGGGCACTTGGCACCTGGGGTCCTCCGAGCGGGAGGCGGGAGATTTTGCCCCTTCCGTCCCTCTGACCTGGCTTCTCTCTGCAGGGCATGCCTGCCTCATCTCATGGCCTCTTTGTTCTTTGACAACTGCATGAATGACATGTGTAACTTCCAGGGGCTGCAGCAGATGCTGTGTGCCCATATGGCGGCCTTGACTGAGACCTGCCAGGATGCTGGCTACATGGTGAAGCCCTGGAGAGGACCCCAGTTCTGCCGTGAGTTGTGTAGAGAAGCAGAGGTCCCCATTTCTTCAGACATGGAAGGGAGCAGAGGGCTGGCATCTAAAGGTGTTAGCACAGGCTTGAGGGCGCCTGGTTGAACCCCTTTGCTTCCACACATGGACAGAGAAATCTGCAGTCAGAAATATCTACTGAGAAAATCATGGTCACTTACAAACCCAGAAAGCCTTCCCAGTTGCCTGAGGCTATGGCAATGCCTATGGGTGTATGCCTGCCCAGGTTGCCCAATGCACACATAAAATGAGGACTCGTGGATGGGAGGTTGCCATGACTACTGCACACTGTTGGTTATGGCCCAGCTCTTTGGGGATCCTGCTTTAGGGCAGGGTCATGCCCTTGATCAAGGCCATGTGAGTGGTCCCCCTGCTCTCCTTCCACCCTGACCACTCACCTTGGGCGCATCTACATAACAGCTCCCATGGACCTGCCTCTTGGTAGCTCCCTGCAGGCTGCTCCTCCAGGCCCAGGGTGGAAGCTGAGCTCCTCAGCATGTTTCTCCCAGTCCTTCTCTTCTCAACATAGGGCAGAAGCCTCTAGCTGTCAGCCTTCTGACTTCTGGGCTACAAACTAGCTAGCGATCTTCTTTCTCTTGTCCCCGGCCTGCCTCACACTCTTCTCACCTGTGCTTCTCCCTCCACCAGCTCTGGCCTGCCCACCCAATAGCAAGTACACGATGTGCGCCAAACTGTGCCCTGACACCTGCCATTCCAGGTTCTCTGGCATGTCCTGCCAGGACCGATGTGTGGAGGGCTGTGAGTGCAACCCTGGCTTCATCCTCAGTGGTCTTCAGTGCGTCCCCCAGTCCCAGTGTGGGTGCCTCGACCCCATAGCCGGCTACTTCATGGTGAGCTGCTAGGGCCGGGCCTCTTGGCCATGCAGCCCTTCTCTGGGATCTGAAGTCTGCTGCAAGAAAGAAAGTTGGGGGACAGCCTGATCCTATAGGGCTGGGATTAGGGAAGTTCGGGCTCCAATTTCCTTTCCCTTTTTCTTTTTTCAGCTTTAGTACTTTTCATGCAGATGGGGATGGAATCCTAACAGTTACTGCCCACACTGCCTGGCAGAGCCTGAGACCCCTGCTTTGCTCTCCTCGCATCTTCCCTACCCTTCATGTCCCTGAGCCAGTTTCATACATCTGTGTCTCCCCTACACTCTTGCCAAACACTGCTCCTCTCCTACCAAGGGCCCCTTTCTCTGCTGAAGGACTACGACTTCCTCCTGGGCCTTGATCTTCACAGTCTTCTCAGAGGCAGCATTTGGAACCAGACCCTTGGCTGTGGAGCTTCTCACTTCTTTCTTTGCCTGTCCCTCACCCAGTCCTGGGAATGACACTGATGTCAATCAAAGCCTTCTACCACATGAAGTTCACTTGGTTCTCCTTCCCTCAGTCCCCATTCCAGGCCCACTGAACACTCTTTGTCTATGCCTTTCTCTCCTATCAATTTCACCTTCTTTGCAGTCCTTTTCACCCTGCTCTGCCTCCGGCCACCCAGCAACCTATGCCTGTTGGAATCTTTCACCTCCTCTGAGGCCCTGGTGAAATGCTGCCTCCTCCCTGAAGCCTTCCTAATAGGCAAAGTCAGAAAGCACTCCTCTAAACTCTTAAAGCAAGTGCTTACTGTGTGTGTTGATGATAGGAAGCTTTCACTGGTGCCTTGCTTGTCTTCTTTGGGTACATATCGTGTTGGAGCACATGATCTATTAGTTTACTTGTTTAATGCCCCCACTAGGTTGTGAGTTCTCTTAGTGCAGGGACATTGTCCATCCAGTTCACGGCTGAATCCTTAACCCCTGGCAAAGTGCAGACATAATATCTGTTAAAATAGTGAAGGAACAAACAAATGATGGAATGCCAGACTTTTACAACTAAGCCAGGAGCTCATGCAAGTGATCTGAATAGCAGTAGACTAATAGTTAGACCTGGGAATAACCTCTTTTCCTTCCTTTCATCCCCCAGGAAGGGCAGCAGTGGTTCAAGCCAGGCTGCAGTCAGTTCTGTGTCTGTGAGCGCAACAACAAAATTCACTGTTTTCTCTGGAAGTGCCAGGCCCAGGAGGTCTGTCGTCAGCAGGATGGCATCTATGATTGCTATGCCCTGGGTGAGCGGTTAGGTGGAAGGTGAGCAGGTGGGCTGCCCATATGGCCTCAAGCAAGAGCATGGCCTTGCCCCAAAGCAGGCTCCCTAGAGAGCTGGGGCATAACCGAGTGCTGGAAGGCAGTTGCCCAGAAACAGAGCAGTGAGGTTGGGGTAGTCTTTTGACCTCTTCAAGCCAAGCTGACCACCCAATGAGCCGTAGGAACCACCCCAATGTGGACTCACCAGGATGTCAGCACAGGGTCAGTGCACCTCTGAACGCCATCTCCTCCTCCCCAGGGTCTGCCACCTGCACTGTCTCAGGGGATCCCCACTACCTGACATTTGATGGAGCCCTGCACCATTTCATGGGCACTTGCAGCTATACCCTGACCAAGCCTTGCTGGTCGAGGGCCCTCGACAACTATTTCGTCGTGAGCGCTACCAACGAGTTCCAAGGTGGGAACTTGGAGGTATCCCGCGTGAAAGCCGTTCACGTCCAGGTCTTCAACATCAAAATCTCATTAATCAAAGGCCATAAGGTCACGGTGCGTGCCTCCGCCTACCTCCTAGTCCCCACACACCACCCTGCTCAGCACCTCTGCTCTGCGCCTCCTTGCCCGCAGGTCCACCTGTGTGGCTTGTAGAGCCCCTGGAGATCACCTGCAGCAGACCCAGCTCAGTTCCTGAAACACACCTGCCACCCCTCTCCTGCTCCCCGGTGTTGGCCCTGTTGTCCTTGTTCTAAATGCCTTTCACTACCATGCCCTCCCTGCCTTTGTAGCTGAATGGTCGCCGGGTGTCCCTGCCTGTGTGGCCTTTACAAGGTAGGGTGATCATGAGGCCCAGTGGCAACTTTATCCTCCTCAACACGGATTTTGGGCTCCGAGTTCGCTACGATGGGAACCACCTGGTGGAAGTGACAGTGCCCTCCTCCTACGCTGGCCGGCTCTGTGGGCTATGCGGTGAGTTCTTTGGGCACCTGGGGGCAAAACCAGGATAATGGGGAGGAAGGAGCCTGTTTGCATCCTGCTCATACACACACCTAATTAGGTGTTCTAAGTGCTTGTCCATCAGTTCATAGGTAGAGGGTGTTGGGCATGAGGGTGGATGTTAAGGGAAGCCCGAAGTGAAGAAAAAGATAGGGTTAACCTTAGTCTGTGGAGTGCAGAGTGAGGGGGCCTCTTGGGGGAAGGTGGTGGTCCTGGGGCTGGGTCTGTTAGCAGGGCACCTCTGTGGCCTCTGTTAACTGCTTCCTTCTCCAGGGAACTACAACAACAACAGCTTAGATGACAATCTGAAGCCAGATAAAAAGGCTGCAAACAGCTCCATGCAACTGGGGATTGCCTGGAAGTCAAATGAGTACTCTGAACCTGGGTGAGCCAGGAATGGGGGATGGCTCATGGAGATGGGCCTGGGGAGGAGCCTCAGTGGGCGGCCTACAGGTGTTCTCTGTAGGCCCCAATCTCTCTGAGACCAGAGTTGCTGGAAGGTCGTTCTAACCTCCCATACCCCTGCCTGCTGATTTCTCCCATGCTTACTGATCTGTCTCTTTAAAGAACTCTTTTGGTCAGTCCATCCTGAGATCTAACCTTCTTCCTTCCTGCTGTATTTTCTGGCTTTCTTACTTGAAGGTACCACTTTGTTCTTTTCTCCTGTCTTTATTCACCTCCCTGTTTTTCTCTCCACTTTTGTTTCAGTTTTGGGGAAGGTTTCTCCAACCCTAAATTTCTATCCTTTCTCCCCTGTTTTTGTTTAGCTGTTTCATCGCTGGTGGCAAGCCTCTCAGATGCCAGGGGAGGAAAAAGACAAACATCTGGAAAAAGAATTGTGATATCTTAATTAACCCTCTGGGTAAGCCTCATTCCTTGCTGGCCCCTTTTCTTCTCCCCCAGTACTTGTCAGAGAGGGACGAAGAGTGAGACATGAAAAAGATGGAGAGTCAGGAGGAAGGCAGATGGAAATGCAGAGGCAGTGTGCACCTTCTTGGGAGCCTGATGGATCAGCCCCCCCCCCCTTTTTTTTATCTCAGGCAGTAGGTTCTCAGCAAATACAGGTTTTGATGGAAATGGATGTCAGATTCACCCCAAGCAGCTGCCTGGTTCTGCTCCCTTCCCAGGCTTCCTCTCCTCTCTCATACCTTGGTGGTTTCATCCTCCAGGACCCTTCTCTCAGTGCCACAGGGTGGTACCCCCGCACTCCAGCTTCAACAGTTGTGTGCATGGCCAGTGTGGGACCAAGGGTGATGCCCTGACCCTGTGCCGCTCCCTGCAGGCCTATGCCTCCCTCTGCACCCAGGCCGGCCAGACCCCCGCCTGGCGGAATAGCACCTTCTGCCGTAAGTGACCTGACCATCGTTCTTGCAGCCTGGAGGGATCCCCCCAAACCCTGTCCTCTCTTCTTTTCTCTAAATTCTGCTCCTTCACTCTTCGCTTCACAGCCTGGCCTTCAGCCCCCACATGAGACCTCATCCATTCTCCACTCTACCGTCTCTCCACCCCAGACCCCATCCTCTACGTGTGTCTCTGCACTGGAAGCCTCCTCCATCTGACTGTCACCACACCAAAAAGTTCTTCCTTCATTTGATTACTGCCTCCTTCTCTTCTTACCTAGGCCAGCTTTGTTCCCTTTCTTCCTGTCTTTCTCAGGAACTCTCTCTTTTTTTTTTTTTAAAGAAATTGTGGTAAAATATACATAACAAAATTTGCCATTTTAATGCCACTTCTATAGCATTAAGTACATTCGCATTGTTGTGCAACCGTCACCACCATTCCTCTCCAGAACTTTTTCATCTTCCCAAACTAAAACTCTATCTCCAGTAAACACTAACTCCCCATTCCCCCCACCCCAGCCCTGGCACCCACTATTCTCTCTGTCTCTATGAATTTGACTACTCTAGGGACTTTATATACATGGAATCACACGGTATTTGTCCTTTTGTGTCTGGCTTGTTTTACTTAGCATAATGCCCTCAAGGTTCATCCATGTAGTGGGTGTGCCAGAATTCCCTTCTAAGGTTGAATCATATTCCATTGTATAGATGGACCCCATTTTGTTTATCCACTCATCTAATGGACATTCCCAGGAATTTTTGATGCCCCAAGGTCAGGGAGCCAGAAATCATTCAGCCCTTCCTAACACTGGTTTCTTCTTAGCTATGAAGTGCCCATCTGGCAGCAGCTATAGCCCCTGTGCCAACCCCTGCCCAGCCACCTGCCTCAGCCTGAACGCCCCACAAGACTGCCCGGCAGCACTGCCTTGTGCTGAGGGCTGCGAGTGCCAGAAAGGTCACGTCCTGAGCGGAACCTCCTGCGTGCCCCCCAGCCAGTGTGGCTGTATCAACCCAGGGGGGGCCTACTACCCGGTGAGAGACCAGACCACAAGGGGTGCCCTGCCCTTCCCAGCTCTATGGGTTTGGGGGCAGGAGGACTCAGAGCCTGAGAAGGGGTTGGGTGAGCCAGTGCTGGGGGCTGAGGAGCAAGCCCAGAAGCCAAAAGGCTGAGAGAGGGCAGCGATGGAGGCTATCACTGACTGAAGCGAGCCTAATGGGGAGCTTGGGGTGCTGGGGCCCCAGTCTCTGGCTTCCAACTTTCTGTTGCATGCCTGTGCCCCACAGGTTGGGGAGAGCTGGTATGCAGACAAAACCTGCTCCAGGCTCTGCACCTGCTCTACCTATAACAACATCTCCTGCCTCCAAACCTCCTGCAAGCCTAACCAGATGTGCGGGCCCCTGGATGGGCTGATACGCTGCCGGGACGGTAGGAAACCACTGAGTATGGAGAAGGACCCGTAGCCACCAAGATGAGTTCTTTCCAGTTCCCCCTAACACTCTTCTCACTGCCATCTGTAGCACTCGGGTTTGTGGCCTTGCTATACCAAAGGACATCTGGCATGGAAAGATGACCACTGTACTGTCTGTCGGGAAGGGCTCCTTGGGGTCACTCGTGGTTCTCCTGTAGCGGCCATGGACTTAGATGGGTTATTAAAAGTCTCTCCCTGGCAGAATAACACCCGCTCCACCCCCAAGCCTCATGCCAGCCTGGTCCTTGTGCATTGTTTCTATTCTTTTCTTTATCTTCCTTCCATTTGGAGACCCCCTCACCTTCACATCCTTTTCTTGAATGTAGAGAGAATACCTATTCTTGCTAGATTCTATTCTTTTCTTTATCTTCCTTCCATTTGGAGATCCCCTCATCTTCACATCCTTTTCTTGAAATGTAGAGAGAATACCTATTCTTGCTAGAGGCTGGGCACTCCTCAACCACTTCCCTTTCCTGCAGGTATTGGAGTGTGCAAGACCTCAGATAATTCCCACTATGTGAGCTTTGATGGCAGTCGTCATGCCATCAAGAGCACCTGCACTTACACCCTGGTGAAAATATGCCATTCTACCATGGACCTGCCTTTCTTCAAGATCAGTGGCAAGAATGGGAAGAGGGAAGGCCAAACCCCCACCTTCTACCTCCGCCAGGTCAACATTGACATCTATCACTCCCTGGTCACCCTGCAAAAGGGCCACCATGTGCTGGTGAGCCACATGGCATGGGCAGGGACAAAGGAAGCAAACTCTGGGGAGACGGCTCTGGTCTTTCTTCCTACTCATGTGTCCTGCCCTCTGTAGATCAATGGCAAACAGGTCACCCTTCCTTCGACCAACCAGATCCAGGGTGTCAGCATCTCTGCCAACGGTGTCTACACTGTGTTCAGTGTTAACACTTTGCTGCAAGTCAAGTTTGATGGCAATGGGTTCTTAGAGATCAAACTCTCTAGAGCCTATTATGGAAAGGTGAGGAAAACAGCTGGCTCTTCTCCTAGAGGAGTCACCCCCTCCCCCAAGGATGGGGGCCCTAGACCCAAGAAGTCACTCCCCTCAGCATCTCTGCCAACGGTGTCTACACTGTGTTCAGTGTTAACACTTTGCTGCAAGTCAAGTTTGATGGCAATGGGTTCTTAGAGATCAAACTCTCTAGAGCCTATTATGGAAAGGTGAGGAAAACAGCTGGCTCTTCTCCTAGAGGAGTCAGCCCCTCCCCCAAGGATGGGGGCCCTAGACCCAAGAAGTCACTGGGAGAACAGGAGAGGGTTGTGCAGTGTGCCTTTTTCTTTAGAGTGGAAAAGGAGATGCCAACGAGAAGTGCTCTCTTGCCTCGCCCCCCAGCCCCACCCTGTGTTGAGACTCCCTTCTCTCCACCCAGGCCTGTGGCATGTGCGGGAACTTCAATGGTGAGGAAGAGGATGAACTAATGATGCCCAGTGACGAAGTAGCGCAGAATGACTTCGAATTTGTGGACAGTTGGCAAGATAAGGAGGCTGACCCCAAGTAATTGTCCCCAGAGCCTCTCTGCCTTCTCATAGGAACAGAAGTTGGCATTTTAGACTGTATGGCACACGTAGGGTAGGGAGATCAGAGCGCTCTGTTATCCTTTATGTGTGTAACTTGATGTGGGATGCTTTCTGGGTTCTGGGAATCTATTTGGGGAAACATGAAAGTCTTCCTTTCTTGGCTTCAAAACATGGGAGGGAACTGAGGCTGCATGGAGGGTGGCCAGAGCTCAGACCTGCTTTCCAGTGAAGACAAGAGGCATCTTCAGGGTTATTTGGGAGCGCCAAATCATTTTCATAGGTGGGGCAGTGGGTGTCCCTCTGATGACCCCTTTCCCTTCCCAGTTGCCAACAAGATAACCAGAAAGATGACCAGATAAAGACCAAAGCAGGGCAGCGGGAGAAGCGGAATGCAAACTGCAGGCCAGCTGACCTCGCGAGAGCCCAGGAGCAATGCCAAGTGGCCTTTCAGCCTCTGGCCTGGACTAAGTGTGCCACCCGCGTGGCCCTTAAGCCCTTTCTGCTCAGCTGTATGCACAATCTCTGTGAGTTTGGAGGCCAGAAACGTGCCCTCTGCGAGTCTCTGCAAGCCTTTGAGGCCACCTGCCAGGCCCAGGGATTCAAGCCCTCAGTCTGGAGAAACAGCAGTTTCTGCCGTGAGTGTCCCCTATGTTTACCCACAAAGAGTTCCCAAACCCTGTTTCTGTCTATGGATCCCTTATAGCTGCCCTGTTCTCTTTTCCTATTGTTTGCGACCTATGTCTGACCTTGCCGTCTCTGACGTGCACTGTTTACAATAACTTCTTAACCGGTGCCCCTTCCACCAGGACAGCACGTGCTGCTTCTCATCTGCTTCCTCGCCAACACTGTCTTTCCAAAGGAAATGTGATTGTGTTATTCCCCTGCATGACTGTTGCCTGCAAGATTAAGTCCAAGCTCCCGTCTGAGATGTACGATATCCTGCACTCTGTCCCGGCCTCTCCTCTCTCACCCCTATGCTGTGCCCTTGCCATCACCTGCACCAAAGGACCCATTCCTCACACAGGCCTTGCTCTTCCACCCTCTTCTCTGCCTTTATACACACTGCTTCCTGCGCCTGGAAAGTTCTTCTCCCCACCTGGTAGACTTCTAGGCATCTTTCTATAGCTCTTTCCTTTAAAAGTTTTTAAAAATTATTAGTCACTAACCATAATATTCACCCCTTTAAAAGTATATAATTCACTGGTTTTTAGGTCTTCTCAAGGTTCTGCAACCATCACCACTATTTAATTCCAGAACCTTTTAAATTTTTTAACTGCGATTAAAGTGTTTTTAGAATGTGATGCATTCACATGGTTCAAAAACTTAAAAGCATTAAAAGAGCCCCAGGGAAAAGTCTCCCTCCCACCCGGACTTCACGGGCCCAGTACCCAACATGCTGTTATCAGCATTTGAGTATTTTTCCAGAGGTCTTTTACTTGTGCACATACAAATACAAATTTACTTTTGTTATTTTCTTACAAACAGCATTTGAGACACAGTATTTTGCACTTTATTTTTTTCACTTGACAATCTAGCTTGGAGATCCTTCCACATCAGATATTCTCTTCTATGTCACAAAGCCATCTCTCATTCTCTTTTGTAGCTGCGTAATATTCCATTATTAAATCATAATTCACTTATCATTTTTTTAACTAGTCTCTTACTGATGGACTTTCTAGTTGTTTCCAATCTTTTGCTCTTGCAAACAGTGCTGTAGTGGATAACCTTAGGCAGTTATGATTTTCTGCGTTACTGTTTGTAGGATAAATTCTTAGAAGTGGAATTGTTGGGTCAAGGACTGCGTGCCTTTGTACTTTTGAGAGATGTTGCCAATTGGCTTTCCATAGGAGGTGAGGAATTTACATTCTCACTAGCATCTAATGAGTGTCCATTTCGCCATAGTCTCACCGATATAGAGCATTGTCACACTTTTGGATTTTTGCCAGTCTGATATGTGGGAAGTAAACTTAATTTGCATTTTTCCTATTATGAATGAGATTGTGCCTTCTTTCATATATTTGGAGCCATTTTAATTTCCCTTTCCGTGAACTCTATACCATTCACCATTTTTCCACTGGGTTGCTAGTCTTTTCAAACTATTTTATAGAAGTTCTTTATCTATTACAGAAAATAACTCTTTATTAGTAGTATGAGTTACAAAAAGTCTTCCAGTTCTTTTTTCCATCTTTGACTCTTTTATTGCCATGCAGAAAAAAATTATATATACATATAGACATATGTATATATATAATCTATATATATATATTTGTGGGGTTGAGTATGTTAGTCTTTGTTTTATGGCTTCTGCATTTTGAGCCATATTTACAAATACCTTCCCTACTTTGAAGTTTAAAAAAATTTGCCCATGTTTTGCTCTAGTATTTTTATGATTTCATTATTTTTTTTTGTATTTGAATGTTTGATCCACGGGATTTATCTAGTGTAAGATATGAATCAACTTTTTTTCCCCCAGCATTATTAAATGACCAGTCTCTCTTTTCCCACTGACTGAAATGCCACAATTTATCCTATACTAAATTCCCACACAGATTTGGGTCCCAATCTGGGCCTTCTCTCCCCTTCCATTATTTTATCTCTCTTCACTTATTAGTAACTCAATTTTGCGATCATTAAGAATTTTAAAAAGGTGTTTTAATTTCTCATAGGGAGAATCACTACCCACTGCTCTTTTGTTGTTGTTGTTAGAGCTTTTATGGCTCTTCTGGTTTGTTTCTGTCTTCATCTCCACTTTAATATCATCTTGTCCTATTAAAAAACAAAATCTTTTTAGTGTATTTTATAGGATCATATTAAATGTATAGCTGAGGGAGAACTGACATCTTTATGTTTCGGACTCTTCTTATCCTTGAACATTTCCATTTGTTCACAACTACTTTTGCCTAAAGAGTTTTATTGAATTCCTCCAACAGAGCAAGTAGCTCCCTCCTCTGTGTTCTTGTTACACCTCATACACACATGCCTGTCACATACTTACTGACCCTGCATATCAAGGTCACGCAGTGGCTGCTGGCTGACCTTTGTCTCTCATGCTGAACTGAGAAAGTCATTCTTTCTTTCTTCCCTTGGGGCCTGGCACATAGCTCCAATCATTAAGTCTTTACCCCCACCCTGCTTCCCCCCCAGCTCTGGAATGCCCCACCCACAGCACGTACACTACCTGTGTTCCCTCCTGCTCACCTTCCTGCTGGGACCTGCAAGGCCAGTGCGAGGACACCGTAGTCCCCTCCACCTGTGAGGAGGGCTGCATTTGTCAGCCCAGCTACGTGCTCAGTGAGCAACAGTGTGTGCCCAGGACTCAGTGCAGCTGCAGGGATGCCCAAGGCGGCTCCCTCCCAGTGAGTGGGGACGGAAGTAGGGGCAGGGACAACATACCTTGAGGATGGTGCTTTCTCCTTTCCTCAGCCTCTATCAGTGTGGGGTGCATGGACAGCTGGCTCTGCCTAGCGTGTGACAGCAGGGTGGTATCTAGCCAGGTCTGGGCTGGGGTGGTTTGGATCTGAGGAATCCGAACATCTGGGATGCAGCATGGTGTAGTGGAAGAGGGTGGCCTTGGTTTGAATCCTGATGTTACTGTTCAGGGTTCCTGCCTTACCTCAGTTTCTTCATCTATAAGACGGGTCCTCCTGAACATACCTAAGTATGTTCCTGAACATACCTCCTGAACATACCTAAGATACCAAGCACAATGCCTCTAGGGGGCAGTACAGGGACGTAAGTGTGTGGATGGCACCAGAACTGCCTTTGGCCTGTGCCAATTAAGCCATTCAGACAGCTGGCTTGGGCTGAAAGGGTGAGAGGAAAGAGAATCGGCCCTTCCATTTTCATTCCTTTGTTCTTCCTGTGGCTTCCACAGGCAGGGAAGACCTGGCTCTCCAGTGGCTGCACCCAGAGGTGTACCTGCAGAGCAGGAGCCATTCAGTGCCGGCCCTTCATCTGCCCTTCTGGCTCCCACTGCCAGCCCAGCTCCAACGGCAACAGCAGATGCACCCCCAACAGTAAGGGAGGCAGGTGGGGAGGTGGAGAGAGGCAGGGCTAGAGGGGTTGAGGCCGGGAAGCTCTGGAGAGAGAAAGGATCAAGCTCAGGCATGGAGTGGGCCCGGGTTCTCATCCTGACTCTTCCCAGCTCTATGACCACCTGTAAGTTATGACCCTCTCTAGGATTCACTCCTTTAAGGGCAAAAAAGCGGAGACCAGACAAGGAGATTATCTTCCATTTTTAATGGGGCTGGGAGAGGAGAAAGTTGCAGCTCAAGTATCAAGGGAGCTCAGGGATAAGTGGGAAGGTGACAGGAGACATCAGGGCAGGTAAAGGATTCAGGGGGCTGTTATATCTGGGCAGGGCGCCTTCTCAGCATTGGCCCTTCTTGGCAGAATTGGAACAATGCTCAATTTTCGGGGACCCTCATTACCGCACATTTGATGGCCTCAGCTACCGCTTCCAGGGCCGCATGACCTACACACTGATCAAGACAGTGGACATGCTCCCAGATGGCGTAGTGCCCCTGGTTGTGGAGGGACGCAACAAGATGTATATACCGCTAAGCACGATCTTCCTGCATGAAATCATTGTGATGGTCTATGGCTACACGGTCCAGCTTCAGGCTGAACTGCAGCTTGTGGTAAGATCTGGGCCACCTGAAGCAGGTGAAACCAAGACTCCCTATTCCCTGGGAAGTTCCCAGTAGTGGCTGCCTCATTACAGAAGTCAGAATCACTGCCACACTTGCCTCATGGGGAGAGGCAGCGGAGGGTTAAGCAAAAGGCTAGAGAGAGGGAGGGAATGAGAGAGAAGGAGAGAGCACCTGCAGTATGAAGGTGGAGCCAACTGAGGAAGTACCAGGGGCATCCACTCTGCTAATGTTTTTGCAAGGAAGGGGCTGGGGCTGCTAAGGCAGCCGACCTCAGGGAGGCCTTTGCCATGCAGATAGCGACGCCTACTGGGGTATCTCCGTCCACGGAATGATAGCACAGAGATACTGCGATGTGTAGAGAGAGGCAGAGCCAAGGTGGCAGAGGGTCAGCTTCATTCAGGACTCCCAGAGGCTCCTGTCTTCCTCTTCCAGGTCAACAACCAGAAGATGGCCATCCCCTACAATCCCAATGAGCACCTATGGGTTACCATGAGGGGCCATCGGCTGTATCTGATCACTGACTTTAAGCTGGTGGTCAGCTTTGGTGGAAGGAACAATGCAGGTACCTGAGGGTAGGGGTCAGGAGAGCAGAAGGGATGTTTCTGGGACGGGCGAGGAAAACCACATCTTAGACAGACCAAGCATGGTGAGAGGACTCCTGCCTGGGAGTAGTGCCCTGAATGCCAGTGCAGGCCCTAGGAGGGGCGGGAAATCAAGGGAGGTGGGGAGTCTTGCTCTGAATGCCCTCTTCATCCTGCAGTGATCTCCTTGCCCAGCATGTATCAGGGGCTTGTGCGTGGCCTGTGTGGGAACTTTGACAAGAACCCGAAGAATGAGTTTATGCTGCCCAATGGAGCCCTCATTCAGAACATAAACAATTTCGGCAACAGTTGGGAGGTGAAGATGAAGGGAGGCCTTGCCCGCTTCTCAAGGTGAGAGGGCTGGGGCTCAGAGTAGGGAGGCTCAGGCCCCAGGGACATGAGCAACAGCCCAATATCTGTCCACACCACTCCCACCCCGTATCCTCATCCTCGGCAGAGGAGGAAACCTGTGACGCGGTTTCCTCCCAGACACTTTTATCTGATTCTCTTAATCTTGTAGGGGGCACCTACCTTCTGGATCCGTCTGTGCCCATTCCTTCCCCTTACACTCCTTTTCAGTTCTTTCTAATTTCATGGTCCTTGTGGGTCTCCTCTGACCCTTGGCTACCTCTGACCCAGGTCCATCCAAGAGGAGGAGAAGAGAGAAAAGGAGGAGTTGGGCTTTCATGTGTCAGATTGCAGCCCGGAGCAGCTAGAGCTCATCAATAGCACCCAGGCCTGTAGGGTGCTGGTGGACCCCCAGGGACCCTTTGCTGCCTGTCACCAGACTGTGGCCCCAGAGCCCTTCCAGGAGTGAGTCAGGGGCCCGGGACATTGGGAATTGCTTTTCTCTAGGCCCCGCTGCCCGTCTCTGATTTGTGCTGTTTGGTTCACTTCTCGTGGCCTCAGTTCCTTGTGACATCCCCCCCTCCATGCATGTGCGTACACACACACACGTGCACACACACACATGTGCACTGCCTGATGTCTTTCTGATGGGGCTTCCAGGCCCTCTTCTGCAGGGCTGGGTGTCCTAGTCTCCTCCTCCCCTGACAGCCCCCACCTTCCCTGCTGCTTTCCCAGGCACTGTGTGTTTGATCTGTGTGTCGCCCGAGACCCCAAAGCGCAGGAGGAGCTGCGCTGCCAGGTCCTCAGCGGGTATGCAATCATTTGCCAGGAAGCAGGTACCACCCTGGCCAGCTGGCGGGACCACACCCGCTGCGGTGAGGCACTGACCTTCCCCCACAGCTGGCCCATGACCCCCTCAGCCGTTTCTACCTCTGCTCAGCTCTGCGCCACCACCTTGCCCCCATCTGGGGCTTCCTGTCTGGGTTCCCCATCCCTCAACACTGACCACGTCAGCGTCCTCCCAATCTAAGCCCTCTCTGCCTCTGCCTGGGAAGCCTCATCCCTACCCCATCACCGCATTCCTCTCCTTACCAATGTCCCTCTTTGCTCTGCCAGTTCTTTCATATGCCTTAATGTCACATAGTGATGCTCAGAGCCAGCCCACTGCCTGGCTTCCCTGCCTATACTGAGCTGTGTTCTGTGGGTGACTTCGTTCCCTCTCTGGCCCCACACTCCCCACACCTGTTGGGCCAGCCCGAGCTCAGCCATCCTCTCACTCACAGAGGTGACTCTATCCCCTCAGCCTTGGCATGTCCAGCCAATACTGTCTATCAGAGCTGTATGACACCCTGCCCTGCCTCCTGTGCCAACCTGGCAGCCCCTGTGGACTGCAAGGGCCCTTGTGTGGAAGGCTGTGCCACCCTCCCAGGCTATGTCTACAGTGGTGCCCAGAGCCTCCCCCTGGCCCTCTGTGGCTGCACCAACAACGGCATCTACTACCAGGTCAGGGGGCAGTGGGAAGCCCAGGGGGGCAGAGGTTTGGAAGGAGAGCTGAAGAAAGAAAACCAGATCTTCTCCTCCTGGCCCTTCCCTCCTCTCCAGCGGGGAGACAGCTTTGTGACTGATGATTGCTCTCAGCGCTGTACCTGTGCCAGGGCAAAGGTCCTGCTGTGTGAGCCCCTCAGCTGTAATGCCGGGGAGATCTGCACCTTGGGGAACCACACTCGTGGCTGTTTCCGAGGTGAGCCCAGACCACCCCTTGGCTTTAAGCTGCCTTCGTACCTCCTGGGTCCCTGGACTCCTCCCCTTGATGTCAGGAAGGTTGTGCCATTTAATCTTGCTTTCTTACTCAGTCCCCTCCTTTTTCGGGAGGGGCAAAGGGTGAGGACCCGCTGTGTCCTGAGTATCTGCTATCTGCTGGGCACTATGCTGGGGCCTTTTCCAAGCATCGGCTTCCCATGATCTTCTTTAGTCCTTGCTCAGCACTTGGTAGCAAGCATAGCCTCCCCATTTTATAGGTAAGGAAAATGGAATTCAGAGAGCATGAATAATTTCCTCAGAGCCCAGAGCTAGTGAGTGCAGAGCCAGAAATGGAAGCTGCTGCTTTGTTCCCCAGGGTTCCAGCCTGTGAGTGTCCCTGACTGTGGGTGTCCTCCCAGAACAACCCACCACAACCCCTACTCTCCTTGTAGAAAGCCCATGTCTACAGAACCCCTGTCAGAATGATGGGTGGTGTCAGGAGCATGGTACCCACTTCACCTGTGAGTGTGAACTTGGTTATGGGGGAGAACTCTGCACGGAGCCTAAGGATGTGCCACCCCCCAAAAAGCCAGGTAAGAACTTCAACTCAGGCCCTGTACCCTTATAGCCCCTTCTCCACCAAAAACTGCCACAGCATTATTCCATGTATACAGTGTTCACATCTATAGATACTATTATAGGTATATAACAGATAATATAGTATTAACATAATCTATATTATAGAAAAATATAATATATAACATGATCCCCATAGATTAGCAGGACAGCATTCTCAAAGATTCTGAGTCTCCGTGCCCGTCACCTGCCCATATTCTCTGGAATCTTCTCTCTGAACCCTAGCTCTACCGAGGTCCATAGGCCTCATGCCCAGTTTTTTCTCCTCTTGTACCACTCTAGGCCTCTCCAGAACCTTTTAGTGTTTTTCCCCATTCAAAACTACAATTCCTTTGAGCCTATGGGCCAGTGGTTTTACAACTTTATCTTACCTGATTGGGGTGGGGTGGGGCAGAATGGTTTAACGTGTGTATTCCAGGACTCATCCCAAGATTCAGATTCGGTAGGTGTGGAGTGAACCCAGAAATCTGCACTTTTAACAAGCTCCCAGGTGATGGATCAAAGTGATTCTAGGGTACCTCTTTGAGAAGCACTGGCTGATACCAGGGGACCAACTGGATGAACATTCCCCTAAAAGGCTTATGGGAGTTGTGTGTCAAGAAACAAAGGGTTCCTGAGGGGCAGCACTAAGACCTTGGAGCCCGTGGGGCTCCAAGAGGGAGAACCAGCCACAACCAGGGATTTAGGGGGATGCAGTCTCTTCAAGATGGCAACCAAAGACCCCCTTCCTATCCCATCCCAGAAGCATCCAACTTTGTGGCCATCCTGTTGGGAATGCTGGTGCCTGTGGTGGTCATAGTGTTGGCAGTGACCAGAAAATGCTTTTCCAGGAAGAGGAGGAGGTGAGTTCTAAGAGAGGAGACAAGGAGGGGTGGCTAGGGGTGAGTGAGCATGGGGAGTGGGCGCTGACCTTCTGTAACCCACCACCGCCTCCTAGAGAGAATATGCAGAGCCAGAACAGAGACAGGCTGGCAGACACGGGTAAGAACCAACCCATTTCTCAGGACCTTGGCTACTGGGAGTTGAGTTTGCCTCCAGCACAGGTTTTCTCACTTTCTCCTCAGGTTTGGTTCCAGAGCCTACCTTCAAAGTCCTTCAGTTTTGAGTTATTCTCAGAAAAGGAGAGAAAATAAAATTATTCATTTTTGAGATGTGAATTTCCATATGATCACTGGGTCTGTGAGATGGCCTTTGGCGGGCAGGGTATGAGGGAAACAGGTGTGTGGGGGTCTAGGGCTCAGTGCCCCATAAAATGTCCAGAGAGATCTGAGGTGGTGAGGGGCTATTTGTCCCTTAGGCAAAGCCACACGGGGATGGGCCATCAGTCCTCTGGCTTCTGGAATACAGGCGAAAAAACTGCACTTTCCCTCTTTTTCCTAGAAATTCTTTCTGAGAGGACTTGGACCCTGTTTGGGGTAGCGAAAGGCGATTCTGAGTTTGACATTTCTAACAATGGATGACTTGCTAGGCAGAGGCTGAGGATGGGGGAATGTGGCTTTTTCTAAAGTGTGAATAGGCTTGTGCCCCTCTGGGGAGGCCCCTACCTTCTGCACAAATCCATTGCCCAGAAAGGGAAATGAGGGTGGGGCTTGGGGCCTCTTGCTGAGGACCCTTGAGTTCCATCCCAGAAGTGTCTTGGTCACCTCAGCCTGAGGTCAAAGGACGAACATTCCTACTGCTAACCAGCCTGATGCCTCCCACCAGGCAGGTCCTTGTTTGGGGGAGAGGGCTACACATTCCTACTGCTAACCAGCCTGATGCCTCCCACCTTGTTTGGGGGAGAGGGCTATATTTTGCTTAGGCTCTAAGAAGGCTGGCAACTTTGCAGGGGCGGGGCGGGGGGGTCAAGTGTCAGGATGTAGGACCCCAAAGGACAGGGGACTTGGGTTTGGGGATGCTAAATCAGGCAATACACTAAGTTCTAGAAAGGTATCCTTACTCTGCTTATCCTGAGATGACTAACCCTGCAGCAACCTTCCTTTAAGGGAGACCTATCCTGGGTGGAAAAAGGGCTCTGGGGAGGGAGGTATGCCACTGGCCAGACCACTCTGCCCCTTGGCTGGGGGAAGCAGCTCAAGCTGGGCATGGCAGGCTCAGGGGGTCTGGAGCTGGGCTGGCCATGCTTTAATCTGGGCATCATGGGGCTTCCTGCTGTACACCTGCCCAGACCGTTGCCTGGTCTTTAATCTTTTGCTTCTGTCCATTTGTACTGGTCCCTTGACCTCTGTTCCTCTTCTGGCCAGCTAACATCATCTTCTCTAGCCCGATGTCTGGCTGGCAGGGGAAGGGGGTGGCCTAGGCCTGCATCCTCTGGATAGACCTCCCTCCCTCTGGACCCACACCCCCTCCATCCTTGGCAAAAGTCTTTCTCTCCCTGCATCTTAGAGGTACAAAATTCGAGCAATGTCGTCAAGGGAGAAGGGAACAGAGGATTCCTGAGTATTAAAGATCCCAGAAGAGGTAGGAAACTGGGGATAGGATTACTGGCTGAGGCTCCCTGGGCTGGGAGAGACAGAAATTGATTTAAGGGCCTGCACCAACCCCAACACAACAGGGGGCAACTTAGATACAGAAAAGGCGCAGCTGCTCCAATTGAACAAAGCTGGCCCCCTCTGGGCCTGTCCCTACAGGTGTCCCCAAAGGAAGGCAGACTGGGGGCAAAGGAAACAGAAGATAGCAAGAAAGACAATGGGGGTTGACCCCATCCTCATCTTCCTGTTTGGAAGAAGTAGGAGGAAAACAGGTAGTTTCCCCCTCCCCTTCCCAAACAGGCTGGGAGAACCTGCCTGGGCAGCATCTTGAAAGGGGGAATTGTACTCCCGACCCAAACCCAGCCCAGTACTGTGTGTGCACATGTAGGGGGACTGCCCCTCCCTCACAGCCAATGCAGACACACCCCTCTCGCCTTTAAACCAACCCCAGCTGTCAGCATCTGGTCCACATCTGTCTCCTTCATCTGACTGGACCCCCACACCAGAGCATGTTCTCAACTTCAGGGGGCTATAGGGCAGGGCTGTGAGCTCAGGGCCTCCTCTGCTTCACACAGCCCCTTCCCAGAGCAGGGGAGCCAGGGGGTGGCCCCACCCTGGAGGTGCCCCAGGCTCTTCGCAGAGCCATTTGGAGCCTGTTAGAAGCAGCTGCCAATGACTCATCTTCCACTGCCCCCACCACACCACCTCAAACACACCCTGGGGCTGAGAACTAAGCACCCAGCCTCTCACAGCCCCGTCTCTAGATCTCCCTCCCCTCCCCTCTCCATCTCCCACTCCCAATCAGCCCCAGAGCTTCCACACCTCCCATTTTTCTTTTATTTATATATATAAAAAATCGTTTTAAATATAATTTAAGAACCCCTCCAAGCACCGGTGTCTGTCTCTGGTTTCCATACCACCTCGCCGCCCCCCGCCCCCATACCCCCTTGTAGACACAGCTTGGGGGTACTTGGTGGGGCAGGGAAATGTCTGGGGGTTGTGGTATGACCAAGGCACTGTCTGAAAATAGACACAAGGGTGGGTCCATGTTTCAACTTGGGCAAAGGAGGCCATAATGAAACAGGTCCCCCCAACACAAAAAGTTATGACAAGGACAGTAGAAAAACAAAAACGAAGGAAAAATAAGACCAAAAACAAAAAATAAAACTCAAAAACCTTCAATATGAAGGCAGCAGATAGGGGAGGGGCATTTACAAGGGAAAACTGAGTTCAGTGGAGACAGCAGCATGGTTGGGACATCTAAGTCCAATGAATTTGTCACTGGGCCATGACACCCCTTTCCTGCCTCCCGTCACGGCACTCCACTCCCGAGCTCACAGGCTTGTCACCCTCTTCTCTTTGGTCTGCAAGGTCTGTAGGGCTGTGGCCCCTCAAGATGAGGAGGGGCACCTGGGGGCCCTAATTGGGGATCAGAGGGAAGCTGTGGGGATCGGGCCAAACACCCTTGGAAAGTTGGCAGATTATGGGTGCTTCTTTTCCCTCTGGTCACACCCAATCCTGAGGGAAAGGCTCCCACATCATTGGTGTGGGGTTCCCCACCTGGGGGGCATGTTATTTCTATACTCCCATATGGCATAATTCCCAAATCCTGTCTCTCCAAATTGCCAACTCCCCACCCCCATGGGTTCAAAGTGCAATCCAGTGGGACACAGGGATGGGAGTTTCTTGGATCCCCACCTGACTCTGCCCCCAAAAGGGGAACTATTTCCCTGGCCTGGGAATTCC